TTTGCAGCGTGACTGTGACACTGAGTGCAAATACATCAAAATGTTTTCCTCTTAAACGATTTAATAATCAGTGCCAACAGAGAGTGATGCGTTTTATGTTCAAAGACAATGTCATGATGCATTGGAGTGCTCCTCGCCACCCGGAAAAGTCAAGGACAAGTCAATCAAGTCACAACAAGGTTCGGTTTCAGTAGTGGGAGGAAATGACAAAAACATTTATTGTCTTATTTCTTTTTAATGATAATATTCACTGTGAATAAAAATGTAGCTATGATCTTCTCGAACTCAGAAAATCATAGTTGGCATTTCTCTTTTTCAACCCTGAGTAGCGTCTGCAGGTATTCATTTCATGTCTGTACACAATGTACAGCCTGAGGGACAAAACTCAGGGTGTTTATATCACTTCTCTGATCTGGACTGTGGAGGCGGGACAGTAATGGAACAATGTTCTTTGCTAAGAAAATCAACCTGAAACAATTAAGTTAGGGGGACATGCTGCAGACTGAGCTCTGCACTGAGCCTGAGCTCCTGACTGCACTTCTCAGAAGCACTTTTCTCATTTCAACTGTTTCTGTACTTTTGAACAAACAGATGCTGTAATGGCTGTGTTTAATGTCCCATGTCTCCATGTATGTTTGCTTGTTTTCTGTTTTTAGCCCTCTACTGAAAATCTTATTTCCCCTCGAGGGACAATAAAGATTGAATCGACTGCTAGCAAGAGCAGCAAATAGTGCTAAACAACAAAGATGGAGATGGAAGTTTAAAAAGTCTGTCAGGTGATGGTTTTCGAATGTGGAGGTCACCTGAAGTTTGCTGAGTGACCTCAGTGTGCTGCAGCCTGCCAGAGGAGGCTGCCAGCGTGGTGCTCAGTGCACGGCTGGGGTACAAATCAAACACACCTCACCTCAGTTCAACCCTGCAGCTGGCTCAGCCTCAGCTGGCCAAGAGAGGAGAGGAAAGGAGGAGAGGAGATGAGGAGGGACAATGGAAATAGGAGAGGTTATGTGGGAAAAGGAGGAAGTATAGGAGAGGAGAGAGGAGAGGATTAAAGCAGAGGAGAGAAAGGAAAAGAAAGGAAATCATAGAATATGAAACTAAATAAGGGAGGAAGGAAAATGAGAAGTGGAGAGGAAAGGAGAGGAGAGGAGAAAAAGAAAAAGGAGAAAAGGGGAAGTGGAGAAGAGAGGAGAAAGAAAATGAAAGCAAAGCAAAGCAGACAAGATGAAAGAAAAGAGGAAACTAAAGAGGGGATGGAAGGAGAGGAAAGGAAGAAGGAGGAGTTGAGGTTAACGGGAAATGAAAGAGGTGAGGGTTGTTTGGAGTTGGGGAAAAGAGCGATAAAGATGAGAGGAAAGGAGAAGAGAGTGTGCAAAGAGAAAGGTGGGAGAGAACAAAGAGGAAGGAGCAAAGAATGTGAAAACAAAAAGGAAAATAAACAAGAGAGGAAGGACAAAGGGAAGTAAATAGGAGAGGAGTTGAGAAAAGTAAAGGAGGAAAGGTAAGAGGGAAGGAGAAAATAAAACCAAAGGAAATCAGAAGGGGAAAGAAAATAGGAAGAAAGAGGAGAGGGTTATTGGGAGTTTGGGGAAAAAGAGGGGAGAGGAGCAAAAAGGAGAAATAGGAGGAGGAAATGAGAAGAGTATACAAAAGAGAAAGGAAGAGGACAGAAGTGAGGACATGAGAGAAGGAAGAAAAGGAAAAGACAGAGAAGAGGAGAAGAGAGAAGAATTAGAGGAGAGCAGAAGGAGAAGAGGATAAAAGGAGATGAGGACAGAAATAGTGTGATGGGAGGAGGTTACTGTACAGGAGAGGAGAGAGAGAAGGACAAAGGAGGTGGAGAAGGAAGGATGGGAGGAAAGGATGAGGAGAAGAGAGGTGAGGAGGAAAAGGAAGGACCGTGGAGAGACGATGTGATGAGGAGACCAGAGAAAAGAGAAAGGAGATGAATTAGAGGAGAGCCGACGTGAGCAGAGGAAATGAGAAGGGAGTAGAGGATAAAAGGAGGAGAGAAGGCGAGAAAAGTGTGTGATGGTAGGAGACGACTGTGAAGGAGAGAAGAAAATAAGAGCAGTATGAATGAACAGTAGAGAGAAGGGTGAAGGAGTGATGGGAGTAAAGGAAGACAGCGAGAAGGAACATGGTGGTGACGAGGAGGAAACAGAGAGAGACAGTTAGCAATTATCTAGAGTACCTTCCTCTCAGTTTTTACTGCAGAGCCTCACTGAGTGCAGTCACTTCTTCACTTGTGTGTGTGTGAATTTAATGCATCCAAGTTTAGGGATGTAAACTCGACATCATCCCAGAATAATGTCGTTAGCTTCTTCTTCATCATCTCTCTCTAACACACACACATCCATTGTCTCCCACACACTCATGCTGGTCAAAACACACTGTACACCCACACTCACATACATTGTACACACCCCCACGCAGACACACACACGCACACGCACACTGCTGTTAGGCATGAGTCACCGTCATGTGACTCAGTGTGTGTGTGTTAGCTTGGCAGTGCCCACGTTAGCATCAGTGCCAGCTTCACGGGTGTCTTAGATTAACACTGAAGAGCCCCTTTGATGGTGGCGCACATGTCCGTCACACAGATTCCTTCTCGAGATTCACCAATTGATTGATTGCTCGTCTGATCAGTTGTGTTCTCTTTCAGCAGCGATCTGTGTTCACAGGCGGAGCCGCTGACTTTAAAGTCTCTCAGGATGTGGAGCCGGTGAGCGATCTGTCACCTGAGCAGTGTGAAGCGGAGCGGGTCTGGGTTAATCTAGTTTGTTCCAGTATGATCCAGTTTAGTGTGGTTTGGTGGAGTTTGGTCAAGTTCAATCTGGATTGTTCAAGTTCTGTGCTATGGGGGTATTTCCAGTCCTATTTAATCTGGTTTGTTCCACATTAGTTTGGCTTGTTCTTGTTCTAGATTTTTCCGAGGATAGTCTGCTTTGGTTCAGTTCAGTCTGGATTGTTCAGGTCCTGCTTGGTCTTGTTCACTTTGGTTTAGTCCTCTTGGTCTTGTATGGTCCAATTGACTGTGCTATGGGGGTATTTCCGGTTCTTTTTAATCTGGTTTGTTCTACTTTAGTTTGGCTTGTTCTTGTTCTAAATTTTTCCAAGGATAGTCTGGTTTGGTTCAGTTCAATCTGGATTGTTCAGATCCTGCTTGGTCTTGTTCACTTTAGTTTAGTCCTCTTGGTCTTGTATGGTCCAATTGACTCTGCTATAGGGGTATTTCTAGTCCTGTTTAATCTGGTTTGTTCCACTTTAGTTTGGCTTGTTCTTGTTCTAGATTTTTCCAAGGATAGTCTGGTTTGGTTCAGTTCAATCTGGATTGTTCAGCTCCTGCTTGGTCTTGTTCACTTTTGTTTAGTCCTCTTGGTCTTGTATGGTCCAATTGACTCTGCTATGGGGGTATTTCCAGTCCTGTTTAATCTGGTTTGTTCCACATTAGTTTGGCTTGTTCTTGTTCTAGATTTTTCCAAGGATAGTCTGGTTTGGTTCAGTTCAATCTGGATTGTTCAGGTCCTGCTTGGTCTTGTTCACTTTGGTTTAGTCCTCTTGGTCTTGTATGGTCCAATTGACTCTGCTATGGGGGTATTTCTAGTCCTGTTTTAATCTGGTTTGTACCACTTTAGTTTGGCTTGTTCTTTTTCTAGATTTTTCCAAGGATAGTCTGGTTTGGTTCAGTTCAATCTGGATTGTTCAGCTCCTGCTTGGTCTTGTTCACTTTGGTTTAGTCCTCTTGGTCTTGTATGGTCCAATTGACTCTGCTATGGGGGTATTTCTGGTCCTGTTTTAATCTGGTTTGTACCACTTTAGTTTGGCTTGTTCTTTTTCTAGATTTTTCCAAGGATAGTCTGGTTTGGTTCAGTTCAATCTGGATTGTTCAGCTCCTGCTTGGTCTTGTTCACTTTGGTTTAGTCCTCTTGGTCTTGTATGGTCCAATTGACTCTGCTATGGGGGTATTTCTGGTTATGTTTAATCTGGTTTGTTCCACTTTAGTTTGGCTTGTTCTTGTTCTATATTTTCCCAAGGTTAGTCTGTTTCAGTGCAGTTTGGTCTAGTGCAATCTGGATTGTTCAGGTCTTGGTCTTACTTTAGTTTAGTCCACTTGATCCCATGTGGTCCACATTAGTCTGTTTTTTCTGGTTTTGTTTATTCTGGGTTGTTCCTCTTTAGTTTGACTTGTTCAAGATAATCTGATTTGTCCAATGTTAGTCTGGTTTGGTCCAGTTCAGTCTGGATTCTTCAGGTCATGCTTGTTTTTGTTTACCTTGGTCTGGTCCACTTGGTCTTATATGGCCAAAATTACTCTGCTATGGGGGTACTTCTGGTTCTGCTTATTCTGGTTTGTTCCATTTTAGTTTGGCTTGTTCTATATAATCTGCTTTGTCCGAGGTTAGTCTAGTTTGGTCCAGTTCAATGGTTAGTTCTGGTTTTATTGATTTGGTCCAATTTAGTCTTGTTTGTTTCAGTTCCAGTTGGTCTGGTTTGTACATTTTCTCCTGTTTGTTCTTGTTCAATCTGTTTTTGGGGGGGGGTTTAGTCTGGTTCATTCCAGTTTAGTCTGATTGGCTCCAGTTTGGTCTTGTTTGGTCCAGTTGGTCTGGTCCACTCTAGTCCTGTTTTGGTTTATCTGTTATTTCTTGCTTTCTTCAGACCCGCTTGGTGCACTTTGTTGATCTGGTTTGTTCCAGAATATCTGTTTTAGTCCATTATAGTCTGGGTTGTTCCTTTTAGACTTATTTGGCCCAGAGAAGGTTTGGTCCAATATAGTCTGCTTTAGTCCAGTTTGGTCTGGTTTGATTTGGTGCAGTCAGTTGAATGTTTTCCTTGGTCTTTATTGTCAAATATTTTCAGTTACGATCTGATTGTATTGTTTTTTATTTCAAATCTACAGAGCCTTTTCTCGACATGATCAACATTAGCAGATGGATAACCCTCCCCTCTCTCTCTCTCTCTCTCTCTCTCTCTCTCTCTCTCTCTCTCTCTCTCAGTGTGGAGGGCGATCCTCAGTGTCCAGAGGCACTCACTTTTTCTGATTCGTCCTTTGGCCATCCGCCTCCCTTTCATCGCTATACCAACAGCCCCCTCACCAGCCCCTGCGACCCCTACAGCTCCCCCTCCACCAGCGGGCCCCTGGGAGCCTCCCACACGCACACACAGGTACTAACCCCAAGAACATAACAATAAAAGTAATAAACAACAGCAGGTGTGCAGCCATTGAAGTTGTCTGTTTGGAACGTATCGCCATGTTGAAACTTAAATTATGTTCAAGCTGGATTAGTTTTAGGAATTTTGCCGTAGCGTTACTAGAATTTTTTTGTTAGAAAAATACACGATATTCCGGGGATGAAGTTATAACCCCACGTACACTTAGCTGAATCAGATAGATGTCTGATATTAAAATGTTTCAGTACAAAAAGGAAGTATCATAGACTGTTATGACTGAAATATGCTCGTTTGAACCACATCAATACATTTGTGTTTGCCAGGACACATGTCTGATTGTCTTTGTCTTGGTTTTTCCAGCCTACATACAAATAAGGGTAAGCACCACTCCAGAAGGAGGTTGTAGCGCAGCTAAAGCTGTTTGGTAGAAGAAGAATAACTTAGATAAGATTGACAGACAATGATGGTAAGCATGCTAACTAATGACCTGGCCATTTTTGTTTATGAGGTCAGTGTGAACCCAGTAGGATGCAACAGAGGTGGGCACGTAATTAAGTATGTTTAGTCAGGTAATTTGCTACAGTTTAATGGAGCTGGATCTTAACTTGTGTTTTTCTGTCTTTTCAAATATCTAAATCAATACTGATTACCTCACTCTCTCTCTCTCCTTCTCTCTCTCTTGTCTCCTCCTCCAGGGTAGCTCTCCCATCTCTCCCCCCAGCCCGGCTAGCCTTGCCTGGGCTCAGCGCAGCCGACACCAGCCGGCCAGCCTGGCGCTCCGCAAGCAAGAGGAGGAGGAGAGCAAACGCTGCAAGGCTCTATCCGACAGCTATGAGCTCTCTACAGACCTCCAGGACAAGAAGGTACAATGCTTAAACCTCGCAGATCACCTGTTTAAGCACATCGCTAAGCAAATACGGACTTATGGACAGTTCATATTGAAGTTGAATCAAGCCTAAAAAAACAAAGCAACACACACCAGCAGCACACAATGCATGTCAGAACCCACACCTATTGTCTCACACACACACATCATCGTGTGTTGACTCACAGCGTGTCAGGATATGCCTGTCCTATTTCCCAGCATTGATGCGCTTCAACACAGTTCACATTAGATTCCCACCTCGGTGCATCCCAGTTTCTGTAATCTTTCGCTACTTCTGTCTCTATGTTGTGTCCAGGATTTTCTACAGACAACAAATTTCATGCCTTATAAGATGTGATGCAACACAATGCGATGTGTTAGTGTTTTGAAAGTTCAAGTGGTTTTCTAACAGTTACAAAAATTGTGTGTCCAGTGGGCTTGAAGTAACCTAATAATAAATAAATGAAAATAAATAACGTGAACATTTTATAGGGAACTGCAGCTTTAGTGTGTCATAAGATCCGTGTGTTTTGTTGACATAATATATTTTTAATTGATAAACATTGTTGACAAAAACAACAATGACTAACAAAGAGAAAGACAGATTTCTGCCTCCAGGTATGTATCTTGTTCTAAATTACTGCTTCAGCTTGAATTGTGGAAGTACAGAAACTAGTGGATCCCTAGGACATTACAGAAATAAATTATGAAGATAAAAATGTTCATGTTTGTAAAGCCTGAAAAAGACAGACTGCAACCGAGAAGAAATAACATGTGTTTTCTCATGTAGAAATCACAGCTGCTTTAGAAATCACCATAAGTTTATATTTTAATGTCACTTACTCTGTACTATTACTATACTGGAGAATCCATTATACTTAATATAAAGGGAGCTTAGTGGAAAGTGAGGCAAAATGTAAAATGCTCAGAGCCAAAGATACATATAAAAAATAAAATACAAAATATTATGTAAATATAAAATACATGATATTGTACACATTACTATATTAGTTCCAGCTCTCAACAGTACGAGCTTTCCATAGGCGTCTAGGACTATGAGAGTACTTCCAGGTATTATCCCTAAAATTACTTCTTCTTCAGCTACGTGATAAGCTACAGAGCCTGTCCTCCCTTCCCTGATTGGTTCCCTGTGTTTGATGGTGATAGGTGGAGATGCTGGAGAGGAAGTACGGGGGCCAGTTTGTGTCCCGACGGGCGGCGAGAACGATCCAAACGGCGTTCAGGCAGTACCGCATGAACAAAAACTTCGAGAGGCTTCGCAGCTCCGCCTCGGAGAGCAGGATGACGCGCCGCATCATCCTGTCCAACATGAGGATGCAGGTACACACGTGTACACACTGTGTATCTACTGTGTATATATATATTTACAGTGCATGTAAGCAAGAAGTGCAAATGTGCGTGTTCCTCTTTTCTTGGGTGGGTCCAGTACTCTTTTGATGACCGTCAGCAGCAGGGTCAGGGGTCAGCAGGTCAGCAAGGGTCAGACGACGCAGGAGACATGGACGACTCCTTCTCTAAGCAGGTAAATACACTCAGCACTGATATCAGCTAAACAGCGGAAGACAGTTGGCGTGAAGGATGTACATGCACGTGTGTGTGTGTGTGTGGACATTGCAGCAGCTGCTTTACTGTAAATCCTCAAGTTAAAGCTGGTATTCAGGTGATACTGTCTGATTCCACTGGATGATACCAGCTCAACTCACCTCGACGATACTCGTTTTTTTTGCATCACCTCCGTCGAGATTCCAAGTGAGCTGAAGCGAAGGTGACGTGAAAAGACTGCAGACTGCTGACTGGGCAGAGAATCTTCACTATTCCCTGCATCATCATGGCTCAAATGCAGATGGTGTGTCGTGAACAAACTAAACAGTTTAGATTGCGAGATAACTGTAACAATACTTTCTATTATTTTATTACTTTATTATTATGGCAACCCGCAATATCAACTCCGGGTGAGGTCAAATGAAGAGGTGCAGGTGTCGCGTTGAAGATGACGTCACAGCGATATTGTTCGGCCTCGCTATGACGACCAGCAAAACTCAGAGGGTGCTATATCTGCAATGCAAAACGGAGGACAGGGCACCAAAAGCGAGGCGAGTAGAGGCGAGTCGAGTTGAGCTGGTACCAGCTCTGGGTAAGCGCCAAATTCTACAGATTTTAGCATAAAATGTCTACTGTTATGAGCCGGCTCGTGTGGGAAAGGGAAGCGACATAAACCAGAATGTTTTCGTTAAAAAGGAAAGTTATTTATTCGCAGGATTCATACAAAGAACAGAAAACGGGCTGGCGGGTGCTGCTTAAAGCAATGAACCGAGAGATTAACCACACACTGCTCTGAAAACAAAATAAAACAAAAACTCTCTGACTTGCTGAACTATAACCAAACATAAGGAGAGCAGCATCCTCTAAGCCTAATGTCTCTAAACATAAAGTGAAACTACAGGTGTTTGTCTTTGCCCGATTTCATGCACAAACTCACAGTTTAAGGCAACACGGCTAATACTGGTAGATTTTAAACTACTTCAAACAATATATAACTTAACCACAAGGTTACTACAGAAAACATCACGACCACTAGTATACAGCGAAAGACAAACGAGGCGAGCTGATCAACAAGTTCAACAGGTAGGCAGCTATTTAAACAGGGAGATGGTCTGGATGACAGTAGAGGATTGGAGGAGATAGAGAGACCCTGCACCAATCAGATCAGGGGTCAGACATACAGCGGCACTGATGGAAGACAAACAAAGAAAGGCCGGTCTCTGACGAAAGCCTGGTTCTGTCTGCAGTTTGAGAATTTACGATATGTGAATGTGTACATGTCTGCGTTTATGTTATGCCTCTGTGTCGGACTGCAGGTGAAGTCCTTGGCCGACTCCATGGACGACTCCCTCACCTGCCAGTCCGGTCGTGAAGACTCGCAGGACGCAGGAGGGGAGGGAGAGGAGGACGAGGAGGAGGACGAGGAGGAGGGAGACGAAGAAGAGGAAGAGGAAGAGGAGGAGGAGGAAGAGGAAGACGAGGACGAAGATTACAGAGAGTGTGCGTGGCGCAGCGCCAACCCATCCTCCCGACGCTTGGCAGGCCGGGTGGGAGGGAGAGGTGTGGGAGGAGGTGCCGCCATGCACGAGGACAGCACCGCCACCTCCTTCAGCGATGTCACCCTCTACATGGACGAGGGCTGCCTCCCCTCCTCGCCGCTCTCCCGCCCGCCATCCTCGCCGCTCTCCCGCCCCGCCTCCAGCTCCGACACAGAGTACTGGGGAGGAGGAGGAGGAGGCGGTGTAGGGGTGAGGGAGGACAGTAGAGAGACAGAGGGAGGCAGCAGCGCCAGCCGAAGGAGCAGCACCCCCTGCACAGAGTGTCGAGGGGAGTACAGAGGGAGAGCAGGAGGAGGAGGAGGAGGAGGAGGAGGAGGAGGAGCGCACCTCCCTGTCCTGACTGTTGAACCACCCAGTGACAGCTCAGTGGACATGAGTGACAGGTCAGCACAGCAAAGTAAAAGTACTGCATTCAAGGTTTTACTTGAATAAAGTATCACCAGAAAAATAAATCTGCTCAGGCTCTGTGCAGTAATCAGAAAGTCAAACAGTACTTTCAAGCAGTAAAACACCAGTAGGCTGTAAGTTGTAGGTGGGTGTTTTCAACATGTTGACCCAGGGAAACATACATTGAACATTTGACTGAGTGAAAGAGTTCCTTAGTGTGTCATGTCCGACTCTCAGTTCGATAACAGGTATTATGTTCCAGCACATTCTCACCGCTCGTCACATATGGACGCTTAGTCAAACCCCTTTCTTGTCGCTTGTTAACCCCGTGGGTAGCCATTTGGTGTTGTTTTTGAACGTGTAGCGGGCAGTGAGCAATAACAAATACCATAAAACTTTTATAAAGGCTTTTATTTGCTAAAATCACTGAATTGACCCTGCGTTTATTTGGGACAGACCCTTAATTCCTTTCGCACAAAACTGAAATAGGCTACTATGAAACAGTTTATTTATTTCAAACAGAATATTACTTGTATAAAACTTATCCAATAATATTAAATACAGATCATTCATTGAATCTCGCTCCGACAGACGGCTCATGCGCTTTTATTTTGAAGGCAGCAACGCACGGAAAACAACGACAGTGTGCAGGATGAGAGAAGTTTGGTTATATGTAGGAAATGATTATGGTTTGGATGGTTTGGACTTTTTGTTTCACACGGGAAAAAAACGCCGGTCTCCTGGGAAAAAGACCGGTTTCTGGCCCACCAATCCACCTCATTACTTGGACATTTCTCTACTAAACGCCTGCATTATTCATTCCTTCATTCATAACTATGACGCTAAGGGGCTTCGCCGTGCGTTACAAACTGACACCTGTGGGTCTTGATCATGTGTCCATTTGTGACAACGTGGGCGTGAGAACAGGTTATAAGTTCATACAGTGTATTAATTTGACTCAGGGCAGCGTTCTTTATTTTCAACATGTATACAGTTTTTCTTTAACAACTTCATTGTACAAATCTCTTCAGGTCAGAGCGAGGCTCTATCGGACGCCTGGTGTATGAACAGGAGCCGTCAGGAGTCGAGAGGGAGAGGAGGGGAGGAGGAGGAGGAGGAGGAGGAGGGGAAGGAGAGAGTGGAGAGGATGAGCGAGGGGGAGGAAGCAGCGGAGCCAACTCTCCACAGGGAACGATCAAACACAAACCAAACGGCCGCTCGGTCGCCACGGCGCAGGGACAGACTCGCAGCCCTGCCAACGTCCCTTTACCGATGCCTTCAGCCCGGGCCCTGCCTCCACACCCGCTCCCTCACCCACTCCAACACCCCCACGCGCACCCTCACCCGTCGCCCATCCCCCACTTACCCACCATCCTCCACCACCACCCGCAGTACAGCCAGCCGCACATCATGCACATGCACCACGTGCACGGCGGCAGCCCTTACATCCAGAACGCCCATCACTTCGCCCAACACCACTACCACCACCTGCACCACCAACACCACCACCTCCCCCACGGTTATCCAGAACCCCCTTCTTCCCCACTGCCCTCCCCGGTTCCACCACTCACACCTCTCTCACCCCTGCCACCGCCGCTCACGCCCTCACCGCTCTCCTCCTCCTCCTCCTCTGCGCTCCAAAACATGGAGGCGCAGCAGCACCACGCCCACCACCCCCACCTCCACCACCACCACCTGCTGTGCTCGGACGGAGATAACGAGAGCGTCAACTCCACCACCACCAACTCCAACGACGACACGACGGTCAACAACTGCAGCTCCGGCTCCTCGTCGCGCGACAGCCTGAGAGAGCCAGTGGGAGGAGCCTCCCTGGGGAAACAGACCTATCAGAGAGAGAGCCGCCACAGCTGGGACTCGCCCGCCTTCAACAACGACGTGGTGCAGCGGCGGCAATACCGCATCGGACTCAACCTGTTCAACAAGTAAGTGTGTGTCTATGAACATAAATATAACTAGAACTACAAGCAGTTGCAAGCGGGCTTCGGGGGCCCGCGGCGAATAAACAAGCAGATTTTGAAATTAAAGGGACTTAAAATTAATGTATGTCTATGGGAGTGGTGTTTCATATAGGATTAATAGCGCTATCTAGAGGCCAATTGATGCCAAATTTCACACAGCCCTTCGAGAGGGCATGCCAGATAAGGTCCCCGAGTTTGGTGTAGATCGGACATTGCAAACCTAAGGTATGACATCACATCCTGTTTTTAGCGTTTTGGCGAACATTTGTTAGCTTATAATGGGGAAATTTTTCACGTCTCAAAATTCCCTCTACAAACTTTTATCGGCTTGGTCGAGAGATTGTCTATGTCAAGTTTGTTGCCGATCGGAGTTGCCACTTTGGAGGAGATAATTAAAATAGGCTTAAAATAGCTTAGTTATGAGGCAAAATGTCTTATTTAGAAAATGCCATTGAAATGAATGGGATTTTGCCACAGTACTTGAGCTTCGATTATAGGGCCACCTAAAGGCCGAATTGGATGAAATCTTTCAGGTGTCATCAGGGGCCCATGGGGAACAAATGCCCCAAATTTGGTATCGATGCGTCTTATGATTGTGGAGGAACAGATAATTGCTGTTAAACAGTGCCACCTAGGACGTAATTTCACCTCATTTTGCACAGCCCCTCGAGAGAGCACGAGACATTAGGGCTCCAAGTTTGGTGTTGATCGGCGGTTCCAAACCTAAGATATGACATCACTACCTGTTTTAGGGTTTTTCGCAAAGATTTGTTAGCTTATAATTGGGAAATTTTTTCGCGAATCAAAATTTCTTCTACAAACTTTTATCGGCTTTGTCCATAGATGGTCTGTGGCAAGTTTGGTGTCGATCAGACTTGCAACTTTGGAGGAGCTAATCAAAATATTTTTTTTAGTTATTGCGATGTAGTGAAAAAAGTCTAAATGGCGGAAATGGCCGTGGCCTATCCCGAGAGATTCAGCTCGATCCCCCGAATGCGTGGATATAAGGTTTTTGATATCTGCCTTATATTATTTTCTTGGTTAATTGATTCGTTGTTTTGGTCCAAAAAATGGTGAAAAATGTTTATTATTGTTTCCCAAAGCCCGAGATGACCACAACCCAAAGATATTCAGTTTACTGCCATAAGGGAGATGAGAAACCAGAAAATATTCACATTTAAAAAGCTGGAATCAGAGATTTTTTCTTTAAAAAATGACTCAAACTGATTAAACAATGACCCAAATATTTGGGGATTCATTTAAAAGTCTACAACAAATCGTTGCAGCTCTGGTTGCTCATTTTATTCCGTGTAGTGTGTTTTAGTGGAATACAACCTGCGCAGCATCCTGACAAAAAACAAGACTGTCCAAATTGTTTTATTTCTCCCACCTCGTTTGACAACTTCAATGGCTTTTCGGGGCCGTTGACCAGTGAACATGGAGAACAAAAAGAGGAATGATGTTGCACTTCATGTCAGAGTCGGAACATTTTACCAAACGAATCCCATCTGTGGCGTCACCCTCTCCAAAACATCACCCTTCTTCACCTTCACAGCCCAGTGACCACACACAGTTCCAGCTTCACTGTCATTCATAAAGCCCAGATTACAGACTGAATCAATTCTTGCCGGTGCTGTCAGGTGAAACCTCACCAATCACCTCTATATGACATTAAGTTCTGATTGGTCGAGGCCCAATATATCCCGTCACGGCCGGAACTCTATGATCAGCTAATTTGACTAAGTGACCATCTCAAAAGACAGAAATATCATGTAGTCTGACCTCAGCATTAGTCGTGTACAGAACAAAATGAATAACGTGATGGATTTCAGTTTGTTAAAACTGTTGTTAAAAAAGGGCTTTTAAAAATGACAGTTCTGGCATTTTTAAACGTATACAAATCTAACTTTACTTACCGCAAACAATGTTTTTCATTCAATTTAGAAAAATATGGAAATCAGCTTGAAACAAGGTAATCATGATTGTGTTTAGTTTCAACCTGACTCCAATTCTGCTCGCCGTTTCTGGATTTTATCAAAGTCAAAGAAAAGTTTCTTGCCATATTATTTGCTTGTTAGACCAACTTCCTTCCTGCAAAACACATTATTAGACAGTGATTACGGTACATTTCTCTGTATCTTTACAGTCTATTATGAAGATTTAGGGCCTACAATAATCTGTCATATCGTAAAAATGATACACCTGTGTCGTGGATAGTCGCCAATCATTTTCATTAATCAGCACACCCAATTTGAAAAGCATGTATCTCACCAAATCTGTGGTTATACGTTTGAAACGCTTGGGTTTTTGGTAATCAATCACAGTCAAAACTATGCTTACTTTTTGTCAAACTTAAGATATAAAATGATGTAAGTAAGTAAGTAAGTAAAGTGTATTTATGTAGCACCTTTCACAGATAAAAATCACAAAGTGCTTCACAATAAGAAGAGATAAAATACATAAAAACATAAATTATAAATTAGACCTTCGCTAACTAAAAGCCTGTTTGAATAATAAATAGAATGAACAGAATTTAAAGAACGTAGAAAAGGAGGAAATTAATTCCACAGCCTAGGTGTCACTGCTTGAAATGATCGATCCCCTCTGGTCTTAAAATGAATGAGGGGAACCACAAACAGCCTCTGACCTGATGAACTAAAACTACGGATGGGAGTATGAGGCTGTATAAAGTCAGCGATGTAAGGAGGAGCTTGTCCGTGCAAGGCTCTAAAAGTAAGGACCAGAATTTTGAAATGATTTCTAAACTGGACTGGTCACCAGTGAAGTGATGCTAAAACAGGTCTAATGTGCACTCTTTGGTCAATGTGAGTGAGAAGCCTTAGAGCAGAGATCTGAACAAGGGCTGCAATGACACACAAGAGGATTTTTAACAACATTTTGAGGAAACATGAAATATATGAGCGGGGGGGGTTCTGGGGCATTGGAGCATTAAACACTTAATTTCCTGCATTCTGGAGACATTTTCTGCTCCAATTTATGTGGGAAATGTCTTTATTTATATAAAGGCAAACTAAATAAAAAAATATAATGTGGTAATTTATTTCATCTATATTTAAATTGCATTGCGTTTTAAAATATAGCAAGCTATTTTTAAGAATATTTTTACAAATGCTTTAAAAAAAAGTGCTATTTCAAAATGTGGTGGGGACATGTCCCCAGCGTCCCCAGTGTAAATGACACCTATGGATCTTCACAGCCTGGAGACGGTTAAGCTCCTCCTTATTCAAACATGTAAGTAAGTACGTGCTAGAACATTTCATGAGCCAGTTATTAAACCTCTCAAAGCTTTGAAATGACGAGCTCTAACAACTCTGCACTGGAGCCGAAATGAAATGAATAAAACAAGCAAGGAAATTAAACGTGAAATTAAAAAAACATAAATGTTGAACTCATCTCGCCTACAGGAAGCCGGAGAAGGGGATCCAGTACCTGATCGAGAGGGGCTTTGTGTCGGACACGCCGGTGGGCATCGCCAGGTTCATCCTGGAGAGGAAAGGACTGAGTCGGCAGATGATCGGAGAGTTCCTGGGCAGCCGTCAGCAGTTCAACAAGGACGTCCTTGAGTGAGTGCAACACACTCACATGACTGTTTGTGTAAACCTTTAAGAAAGGAAACGTTTCTGCTTAATGCGGTGACATCACCTGTCTGTGTGTGCGTTTGTAGCTGTGTTCTGGATGAGATGGATTTCTCAGGGATGGATCTTGACGACGCTCTGAGGAAGTTCCAGGCTCAGATAAAAGTTCAGGGTGAAGCTCAGCGTGTGGAGCGACTGGTGGAGGCCTTCAGGTACTAAACTGCATCACAGGTTTGAATCCCAGAGAGGATTTGTCAGTGGAGTTTGCAATGTTTCACTCATGTCTTCTCTCTCTCTCTCTCTCCAGTCAGCGGTACTGTGTTTGTAACCCGGTGCTGATCCGGCAGTTCCAGAATCCAGACACCATCTTCATCCTGGCCTTCGCGATCATCCTCCTCAACACGGACATGTACAGCCCCAACGTCAAGCCGGAGAGGAAGATGAAGCTGGAGGACTTCATCAAGAACCTGCGGGGTCAGTCAGTAGATCATCTCCATTTCTTGTAACCGCCACAGTCTCACTTGATGCAGGTCTGGATAAAATGTAAGAACACTCATAACAGTCTGAAGTTGCTCAACGCGGACTGGGGTGGCCGATTTGCAGCTCAAAGAACTTAAAGTAAAACTAAATTGAGCTTTAATAGAATGTACAAGCGAATGAAGATAGAATGTAAATCGTTTTTTATATTAATTTGGAATCACTGTAAATGTTTTTCAAAATGGGAGGCGGGCCTCCCCAGGGGGGCTCCTAACTGTTTCAGTGGGGGCTCAGTGACTGGAAGGGAAAAAATATTACATTATCAAAAGGAGATCACATAGAATAGCCTAAATGAGTGTGATTTGGTTAAAGAGAAAGTTGAGCGTTACAGCAAGGTAGCCGTTTTTTCCACTTTCCCACAATCAGAAACTAATAAATACCTCAGGACAGACAGCTGTTATGTATTTGGTGTGTTTTGAAGTTATGTCAAACAGCTATATTAGGCCATGTATTAGGTGGGCGCCTTTTTCTAAGCTTTGTCTTAAGGGAGGCCCACAGTCTCAGTATTCAGAGTTGTAGTGAAGCTAACAGAAAACTTTGCACTTGGGCGGTGGTGGAATGTAACTGCAAGCTTTTTTATTTTCTGCTACTTTATACTTTCACTCTCCTCCTCTTTTTACCGCACCAAGGGCCGGATTTACTAACACCCCAAATAAAGAGTACTAAAATGCGTGTGCATTTAAAATATTGCATGTACAATTGTACATTGAACCTGTTATGATGACAACAGGTGCAAACACAGTGGAGGTGGCCGTATTTAAAAGAGGGTTTTGTGGTTTTTAATGGTTTCTGACATGGAGAGTCAGGAGGGAAAGCAGCCGCTGCGTAAAAACCTCGGTTTGTTTCATTCAGTGCGTCCCGAGTATGTGGAAATCGGCTGTACCTGCCCGTCCTGCCTGAGATTGCACTAAGTACTTGGGACAGCACACCTGAAAAACTGCTTAGGGAAACCCCAGCAGAAACAGATCCAGCATGCTGGAACAACCCCGACGCGAGGAAAAGCCAGCAGATCGTGCTTCATGACTTCAACTCGATGCTAATACTTTTGTACTTTTTTATTTTGAATGGAGGATTTTTAGACTTTGGTACTGCTACTTTTACTTAAGTAAAATATCTGATCACCGGACTTTGGCAGCAGGTTCCTCTCATTTAATCTTCTTCCATTAGACGATTATTGTTTGATCGATAGATGTGAGTCCTAATCTATAAAGTAAAGAAACCAATTCAACCTAAAATGTTACTGACAAGAAAGTTGTATTTGTGTAAAACATAAACTGGGGGAATTCCTCAGTATCAGTGAGGTTCTGTTTGTCCATGAGTTCTTAATGTGTCACTTTTTTCCTAATGTGATCATTTCATGTCTGAAACGTAGCCCTGACCTGTGTGTTTCCATCAGGAGTTGATAACGGGCAGGACATCCCCAGGGACCTGCTGGTGGCGATCTATGGCAGAATCCAGAAATGGGAGCTGAGGACCAACGATGACCACGTGTCTCAGGTCCAAGCCGTGGAGAGGATGGTGGTCGGCAAGAAGCCTGTAAGATCTTCCGACATCTCAGGCAAACATCTTAGCATCTGTTCATGTGTCTAAAATGAACATGTTGGTAACTCTAGCTATCAAAGGATTTACACCCTCAAACATGTTAAGTAGTCTTTCTTCAGATTTTTCCATTTTACTAGAATTTGGGATAAACACATCGGGCCTGATTCACTAACATCCTGAGTAAAGAGGACTAAACTGCATGTGCATTTAAAATATTGCACGTGTAATTTTAGTACCTGTTATGGGTGATTTACTAAGAATTATTGCTTGATGACAACAGGAGCAAACACAGTGGAGGTGGCCATATTTTGTATTGGTTTCCGCCATGGAGAGTCGGGAGGGAAAGAAACCGCTGCGTAAAAACCTCGGTTTGTTTCATTCAGTGCGTCCCGAGTATGTGGAAATCGTCTGTACCTGCCCATCCTGCCTGTACTTGGGACAGCACACCTGAAAAACTGCATAGGGAAACCCCAGCAGAAACAGATCCAGCATGCTGGAACGACCCAGACGCGAGGAAAAGCCAGCAGATCGTGCTTCATCCAGCCAGACCGACCAGTTGCCCCACGATCTCCTGTCCTTGGCCCTGTACGCCCCAACGCCCCATTCCCTCTCCGATACCTACAATGGGTTGTGTCGCTGTTACAACCGGCACGGTGTGAACAGCTGGTGATCGTTCCCTCTGGCTGGACCAGACACAACTTTCTAAATTCTTCCATCTCACAGAGAAAAGAAGTCAGGTCGAAAAACAAAATTTGCTTTATTGGCATGAATGTTAAAACAACAGTGTTGCCAAAGCTACAGGAAAATACAAATAACTATTCTATTCATATAGTTCATCGAATAAATAAAATAAAATAATTGCATTTCTATATATTGGATATAGAATAATATTATCTAATATTTTTAATTTCTCTAAGTCTTCTTTCATTACGGCTGTGTCTCCTTCTGGCAACAATAACAGCAGCCATCTCTGCACAACACTTAGCGGTTTGCACCTTTATTTCAAACATATTAAATCCTGATACGGTTGCACTCATATGAAATTGCGTTTAGGATTGTTAGATCACATTTCCTGTAGTAAATAAATATATTTGCATGTTACCCTCTCGCTACTTTGTACAATAAAAATTGAAATGCCCCAAATTGCATATTCATTAAGGCAAAAGTACTAAATGAACAACAGGTGCTGTCTTGCACTTTTGGAAGACGTCATTCTGCGAGCACACCGTTAGTAGATCAGCGTACGTGTTAATTTGCTGGTGATATCAAGTTTGCAGACGTTTTTACTCGTGCAAAACTTTAGTAAATCAGGCCCACAGTTTTATAAAAAAATAGAAAACCCACTATTTAAAAAAAATAACTTACACAAGAAAAACTAGATGCCAGATTTGCTGCGGATATCGGTGGTCGCTACAGAATGACCCCTGACCTTTCCTCTAGCATAATTTTACAGATTAACATCACAGAACAATAGACAATCTACTCGATCATGTAAATATTTAAACATCTCCTTGCTTGTGTTGGGAAAGAAAAATAAATGGTCTCATGGTTGCATTAAAACAATAAAAAAAAAGCATTTTTAGGAATGTCTGAAGGAAGGTTTGACACTGTAAACAAGCACTGATAATCTAGAGAGTGTGTGTGTGTGTGTGTGTGTGTGTGTGTGTGTGTGTGTGTGTGTGTGTGTGTGTGTGTGTGTGTGTGTGTGTGTGTGTGTGTGTGTTGCAGGTGCTGTCACTGCCTCATCGCAGGTTGGTCTGCTGCTGTCAGCTGTTCGAGGTTCCAGATCCAAACAGAGCTCAGAGGAGCGGCGTCCACCAGAGAGAAGTCTTCCTGTTCAACGACCTGCTGATGGTAATCAATACACTGTGTGTATGTGTGTGTAAATATAAGTGTGTAAGCATGTGTATGTCTTAGTTTGCACTCAGAGTTCAATTTCTTTGCCACCAGTTATGGATTTTGGTGGTAGCACACACGTCCCTTTTGTGTAAGTGGGTGTTTGTATTACTGCACTATTTTGGGTCAAGCCCGGGTACCACTTCTCACGCAGCCTGAGGATTTTCTCCCATGGTAGATAACGTGATTGTGCGTCACCAGAGCGCCAGTTTAGCCCTGGTCCTGTTTAATGCTGCGCTCCAGAAATGTCAGAGAGTCTGACTTCCTTTTTGAGAAAATCCAAATACACAGAGTCCTCAGCAGGAAACCTAAGCAGGATTTGTCTCCAAGTTTTACCCACAAAGTCTCATGTTTACCTGTGCAAGTCAAGTCATTCATGCTTTGTTTTCAGCTCTGCTGTTCAACAGTGTGAAATCTAATGTAACGTTTGCACAGCCTGAAAGTACTGCGAGGAACTCCTCCTCAATAAACTCGCATTTAAAGCTGCATTAATCATTATGTTTTATTTTTGGATATCAACACTCAAAGGTTTATTGTGAAAGAGTTTGTTTGTGATGATGAACCTATTTTGGTTCAGTCTCATCAACTTCTTTTTCAGCAAACAAGTTCAGATAAAGCTGCTGTGACCTACCTGCCCAGGGCCCAGGGTCATCATTCAGTTGTCCAAACACAGACATCATGAACAGCTCCACTGAGTTAGGCTCCTCGTCGCATTTAAGACCAACAGTAATCCAGAGTTTTTGTTTTTGTGTTTTTATTATAGCTTCAGTGCTAACCGGAACTGCTAACCGCAAATACAGCATAGCTTTTCATAGTTCAGATGCTTTTTCATCCAGTCGTCCATCGTCAACCGCTTATCCTGTGTACAGGGTCGTGGGGCAGATGCTTTTTTTCTTTTTTTAATTTAACCTTAATTTAACCAGGTGAGTTTTATTGAGATTGTGAGACCTGGTCAAGAAGTGAATCCGAATCAGAATGAGCTTCATTGCCAGCCAAGTAGTATTTTACACGTACGAGGAATTTGCCTCGGTGATAAGGTGCTACATGAAGACAAACATACAGTAAAAATATATATATAAATATGGGAAAAAAATTGACTTTTGTGTATTGAAAAATCAATGTGGCAGATATTTACATGTGCATTACTCCGGGTTTGTGTTGTGCTGACAAATTACTGGGGGAGAGGATTTGTATTTATATAAATACATAAATTGACAAAATATAAAAACAAAGAGGAATCGTTAGTTCGCTGAATAACGTAAAATACAACTTTACAGACAAAGACACTGATCAATGTTCACCTGCTCCACATCCTTCAGAATTGAAACAACTTTTGCATACAGTTTTACAGTGTATTGGTACGGAAGCTCTGAACGGCCCTCCATTTAACATTTTTTATGATAACCATGATAGCAGCATAATTATCTCGAGATCTTGAGATAACGAAGGTTATTTTTTTCCCGTGATAATTTTTCAATAATGATCTTGAGAAAACAAAACAGTAGTTTAACACAGGTGTCGGTTTCTTAATGATAATTTTAAAGTGATTTGTAGTGTCACTGGTCAAGTCGAAGGGTTTACATCACATTTACTTTTATTCATTTAGCTGACGCTTTTATCCAAAGCGACTTACAATTGCTATATACAGTATGTCAGAGGTCGCACGCCTCTGGAGCAACGAGGGGTTAAGTGTCTCGGTCAGGGACACATTGGTAGATGGGTCACAGTTAAACCTGGGTCTCTCACACCAAAGGCATGTGTTTTATCCACTGCACCATCACTACCCGTTGTGTGCTCAATCTTCAGTTGTTCAATTTATTTATTTTTTTTATCATTTTTATAATCCTCTTCAGAAAAGTTATTGTTCTGGAGTGTGTGCATCCCAACGATTGGTCCACATTCATCAACCTATGGATTTTTCATTTCCCCATCATTCCCAGGCAGAAGAAATTCCTGCGCTTCTCATTCAGGGGAATCCATTTAACAAAAGTAGACAAAAAATGTCAAAAGTGGGGATTTAACACGGGACCCTATGTGCTTGACCACTGAGATCACGAGATAATTATCATGTTATGACGGGCAAACGGAGTAAAACAAATATTTGAATAGATGGCCGCTTGGGGCTTCTGTAGTATTGGACACACAAGTCATTCAACTTCAAATTGTCGGTCCTAGAATACGCACAGAAGAAGACTAACTTTATTAATCCCTCCAGGGGAAATGAAATGTTCCACTCTGTTGGTATTTTACAAATAAAGGACTGAAATACACACATGCATGAGGAGCTGGTATGGAGAGGGCGGCTGTCACAGTCAGCGATGCACAGGAGGTGAACTGGACCCTCTCCAGCTAATGACCGGCCCATGGTGGACTTGAACGGGCCACCGTCTGTTTCCTAAGCCAGGTCCCCACAGACTGAGCTACATCCGCTCCTTAGTAAAAACCACAGACATACCAAATTTCTGAATAACGTAATTCATTCTGAATATAACGATATATAGCATAGCTGATGCATATGAATAAACGGAGTGAAGAGCAAGTCAGAGAGGTTCCTGTTGGTACAAAGGTCGTGTGAAGGTCAATGCAGGCAACATGAAGCAGGACGTTTCGGACAGAAGCCCTCCAGTCTAAATAAATGATTTAGTGCACGTTGTCTCACACATACAGTCCGTGTCACCAAACATTTGTCTTTGTGCTTAGAGGACGACGTGACTCTTACTGCTTTCATTCATTGTTAATTCATCATGTTTTATTTATTTGCAATGTGGCAAAAAAAAAAACAAACAAGCAAAAGGCAAATGTTTACAGTTTATGGGAAAATATTCAAATGTCTCAGTGAGGGATTAAAAAAAATCTCTCACCTCAAAATGAACAAACGAAACAAAAAGCATAATGAAACACGCCGTCCTCCTTTGTCTCTTTTGCTGTTCCCCCCCTCTGCCACCACTTCTTCTTCTCTCTCCTCAATCCTTCTCTCTTTTCTCCTGTTCCTCCTCCTCAGGTGACAAAGATCTTCCAGAAGAAGAAGACTTCAGTGACGTACAATTTCAGACAATCATTTCCCCTGCTGGACATGCAGGTCCACACCTTCCAAAACACCTGTAAGTACCGCTCTCTCTCTCTCTCTCTCTCTCTCTCTCTCTCTCTCTCTCTCTCTCTCTCTCTCTCTCCTTATCTCTCTCTTTCCGTCTTGCTCGTCCATCTGCTCCTTCCATCTGTCTCAGCTTCTCTCCAGTTTATTCTTTATATCTCTAAATCCTTTTATTTTGCACTTGCTCAACTCTCTATTTTTACCCTACAGTCAGCAGGCCCGCTGAAAAGACACACATGCAGATATATGCACACACCACACACACATGCTCTGAATCAAATGCAAAGAGCAACACATGATGTGCTTCAAACTCCCCCAAAATCTCAGTAAATGGAGACAAGAGAGGACCCAACATGTCTTTTATGTTCAGGTATCGCTTCACTTCAACACAGTCTGTCAGGGTGTAAAACAAGCCTGTCGCAAACGCGATACACCCGGAGACATAAACAGGTGCTGAAGTGTGAGAGTAAGCGCTGGATGCAAAACCAAAACATTTTGTTTGTTGGTGAGGGTGAACAACAAGCAGTTTTGAACAGGCATGAAAAGAGCTCATAGTCCCTCAGGAGAAACCACTAATCAAAGACCAGATTTTGTTGTGGTCAGAAACAGCGTGTTGTGTGTGTTTTGTTGAGATGACGGCACCATGAGAGTTTAGATATATAGAGTTGGCAGAAGAGGCAGGTGAGCGTGGTTGGAAACAGGCTTTAGATGAACATCTTGTGCGGCAGATTCTTCCAAATTGAATGCAATTCCTGGAGGGACAACAGTAACTAAGTACATTTACTCAAGCGTTTGTACTTAAGTACAAGTTAGAGGTATTTGTACTTTACTTGATTTTCTTTTCATGTCACTTTCTACTTCTACTCCACCACATCTCAGAGGGAGATACTTTTTACTTCACTACATTTATCTGACAGCTTTAGCTACTAGTTACTTTACAAAGTTTCAAAAAAATATGTTTTGTTTTTAAAAATTTAAGTAATGTTTTGTTATAAATTAAACAGTTTATACAAGCACAGCTAGTTCATTAGTTGATTGATTTAAAGGTGTGTAAGCTTTACTGGCACCTAGTGGTGAGGGTTGCAAATTACCAGTCTTTGTGCAAAAAAGATTTAAGGAGGAAAAAATATTTTGATTATTCCAACAGCACATGAATGCACCACCAGTCACTTCTTCACAGTTTTCTTACTTCTAATAAACCGGTCGACTACTACTAATACTACCACTACTACTACTAACGTTACTTCTTCTTCTTCTTCTTCTACTTTGTACGTATACTACTAACTCACAGTGGACATTTTTCATTCTGCATTGAGTACTTTTACTTTTAATACTAGATTTTCCTGATTATACTTAAATACTTAAGTAATAATTTTAATGCAGAACTTGTAATGAGTATTAACAGTGACATATTAGTACTTTTACTTAAGTAAAGGATCTGAATACTTCATCCACCACTGGGGGGGGGGGGGCACTAGGTTGACGTGGATCTGGATTGGAGGGTACATTTGCGTCCCGAGGTTGCTGTAGGTCTGCAGGAGGGTACACGCAGGTCTGTAAGTAATACCACGGGTATACGTGGGGCACAAAACATGCAGAAGGTTACACATCAAAGATGAGCTGCAGGTTACAAATGGATTAGGAAGTTGCCGTACTGTACATGTGAGAAGATTGTCATTACATATTTATGGGTTTGCAGTAGGTGTAAAATGCATCTCCAGGTTGCTGCTGGTTAATTTTGAATCTTAACTAGTACGTCTTAGCTGGGAGAAAGCATGGCTCTAGTTTTTGATCTCGAAATATGCAACAAAAATGCATGTGGGACAGAAATCGGAGACTCTGTCCTACTTGGAAAATGTTCCCAACAATCTGTTAATAATCACTTGGCAAAACATAACAATACTCCCTCTTCCAATTACAAAAATCATACTCTGTCTGCCAGCCTCGTCTTTAAACGTAAGGCAGCGTCAGTCTGCAGAAGTGTAGACTGAAAACAGCAGCAGCCCGTTTTACAGAAACAGGATTTCCTAAAAAAAATATGACTGTCACTCTGAAAACAAGGCCGCTTTAGCTGCATTCCTCAAAACATTACTCAGTCGACGGCACATTTTTACACAATCGTATACAAAGTTGTGTGTGTGTGTGTGTGTGTGTGTGTGTGTGTGTGTGTGGTTTCCAAGCCTTTATTTCAGCAGAGAGAAGAATTGGCTCTCAGTCACATGCAGCAGATTGGAGTTGGTGGCGTTTCAAATCAGTCCTCAGCACCTGTTAACAGGATGCCTCACTCTCAGCTCTAAAACCTGAAACCACGTTTTCATTTTTAACCCCTTACAGAGCCACTTAACAGCCAGAGGGAAGTCTTGTTATTGCTGACTTCCAGCGGTTTAACAGCAACTGTAAACACTTTTGATTTCTGACGTGGTGCGACAACACATTGCACCAGCTACCTCTTTTCCAGAGTAACCCAACCCTGAGTGTGATCAGATATGAAGCATACTTAATAGCTGTTGTTGTGGTGTTTTGCTTCCTAAATATATAAAACCGTAAACATGTGTGTATATTAATAGACAAAAAATAAATAATTCAAGTATCAAATGTGAAATTTAAAAACAAAACAATTAATAATTACGATTCTTTCACAAATGTTTGTAGAAGCAGTCTGTGTCGTGCCTAGGTGCTTGATTTTATACACCTGTGGCCATGAAGTGATTGGAACACCTGAATTCAGTGATTCTGAGGGGTGTCCTGAAACCATATGAATATGTCTTTGGTTGTCGTTAACTGCTCCTAGTCGCTGAGAGCCCAGCTTCTGTGTCGAGTGGAAATGACCTCAGCAGAGGAGGTGTGGTACTCTCTACTGACTGGTTAGGGCAAAACAAAACAGAATAACCCCAGACTTACAAACACTGATTGAGTTTCTCTTTATCAAGCACTGGCAGCTCAGTGACTCATTACTAATTCATGCTTTTCAACTTTATTTTTAAACTCAAGAAGGTGAAGAAAACATACTTTATAAGAGTAGATGGATTTTTTCACTCTGTCAGTATTAATATTATAATACACACAATTCTGAAATACACACACAGGATCTCTACACATGCATTAACACGTGGTCAGAGTGAGGGGGCTGCGACGTAGGCATGCGCCCTGAGCTGTTAGGGGATCAGGGCCTCGCTCAAAGGCACCTTCGGCAGGGCCCGGCAGGTGAACTGGCAACTCTCCAGCTACCAGTCCACACCCAGTATGACTGGTCCGTGCTGGACTTGAACCCCCGCGGACTGAGCTACTGCCGCCCTATAGTAGAGATCCCAAAGTTACCATAGATACCAAACCTGTCAGGCTGAATTTTGGGAAGATATCTAGAATATTTCGGTTTGATGGATTGATGCAGCCAAACTAAATCCTTTATTTAATTATTTCACATCACACATAAAATAATAAAGGAGTGGAGCAAGCTGAGATGTAATTACGAGGAAATAAATGGGGAGATGTATTAAATAAAAATAAATATTATACTTTCAGTTGCTGGAATCAGTCACATTTTGAGATTGCTGTACAGGTTGTGTTGCGTTTGTGTATTTACATTACAAGGTCAACATTATTCAGTTGTTTGTGAGTTACTTGAGGGATCCACAGTGAGGTCAGTGTGTACTGAAGCTGCAGTGGTGGTGGTTTTCTTGTTTAGTTGGTTAGTTGCTGTTGTTTAGTTGTTGTTGTTGTTGACATTTCTGGTTCTCCAGTTGGAGCTAAATGGGACTTGGCAGACTGTAGCGCTGACTGTGACCAGGACAGATTGTCCCATATGATTCATCAGCACAATCTTACATCGACTGCGCGTGCGTGTGTGCGTGTGCGTGTGTGTGTGTGTGTGTGTGTGTGTTCATGTATTGTCTGTGGGTGGGTGAGTGTTCATGTATCTGTGGATCATGTGGGAGGAAGGTAACGTGTGTGTTTGTACACACAGTATGTGTGTGAACAGGCATGTCTGTCTTTAATAGTCTACTGGAAATCCCTTTATGAATGTTGTTTATTTTATGATGAAAAAAAAAACATCCTCTATAGGCTTAGCAGGTGAGATTAATTATCTTGAGGATTAGCATAATGTGCTAATAACTCGCCAAAAAACAGATTTCTGCTATAATTTCGCTTCTAGTTAAGGAGTAAGTTCAGTATTTTTCAACCTGGACCCTATTTTTCCCATGTGTTTGAGGGACTGTGGCTAACTGGGACAACATGTTTTTGAAATTTATTGAAACATATTCCTTGCGCCCCGTCAAAGTATGTCCAAACAAGTGCTTGTTTTTGCCACAGACGGGTTATTACAAGTGTCTGACTTTATTGAAAGGATCCCTACAGAGAGAGGCCTTTTTTTTAAAGAGTAAGATCCTGTTTGTTTAACAACCAGTCGCTAAAGCGCTCCAGTTAAATCCACCAGACTCCATTTATAAAAACATTTTAACTTGCAACACGCAGGAGCTGCTGGTCTACCGCCGCCTCGGTCTGGTAGCTTTTTTGTATTATTGTGTGACCTCAGTCTGCCAAAATTAAAAGTTATTTTACCGGAGAAATTTATGTATACGTGTTTTTATCCGAGCTCTGTCAGTCGGTCCTCCACTTTGGCTCAGACTGAAATATCTCAACATCTATTGGGTGGATAGCCCGCTGACTTTATCATCATCTTCGGCTGCTTAATGTCGCTGTGAGAATGTTAGCATGCTGACATTAGCGTTTAGCTCCAGTACAGCCTCACAAAGCCGCTAGCACGCCTGTAGACTATTGGTCTTTTATCTTAGTTTAGTTCACCCTTTTTAATGTGCAAATTCAAAATCTGCATAAATCCAGTGTTTCCTCTGCTCTGACTGACTTTGTGCGAAGAGAAGGCCTTCACTCTGTTATGCAGAGACTGACAGCAAAATTTGATGTTTAACATTCACGTCATCTCATCTATTTTTGAGTAATTTCAGCCCTGATGTTCAGCCCTGATGTTCAGCCCTGATGTTCAGCCCTGATGTTCAGCCCTGATGTTCAGCCCTGATGTTCAGCCCTGATGTTCAGCCCTGATGTTCAGCCCTGATGTTCAGCCCTGATGTTCAGCCCTGATGTTCAGCCCTGATGTTCAGCCCTGATGTTCAGCCCTGATGTTCAGCCCTGATGTTCAGCCCTGATGTTCAGCCCTGATGTTCAGCCCTTCGCAGCGAGGACAGAGGCTTCTGGATCACAGTGTGTAACATCGGTGTGTTTGTGTCTCACCCAGACTACCCGCACGGTATCAGACTCACGTCGGCGAACCCCGGGGGAGAGAGGAAGGTGCTGATCGTCTTCACGGCGCCGAGCCAGCAGGACCGAGCACGCTTCACCTCCGACCTCCGAGAGAGCATCGCAGAGGTCCAGGACATGGAGAAGTACAGGGTGGAGTGTAAGTGTGGTAGTAACATTGCAGTGGTCACAACTGTTTTGCTCACTACGCACGCAGCGTTCATAGTGAGCGTAGAGGGCAAATGAAGTAGGGCCCCGCCTGACTCTTGTGTCAAACCGGGTGTCGATGTTTACAATCATTCAGGGCACGAGAAGAGAAAAAAAACTCAGTCAGCTAAACTTGAAGTCTGATGTCAGCAAGCAACAGTTAACGTTAAGTTTGTGCGGTGAGTCTCTCTTTCTGCCAGACTTTACAACCGTTTATTACGTTTTATATTTTGTATTTATTAGAAACTTGTGCGTTCCAGCAGCGACCGCTGTGAGGACCAGTCCGGACAATGTAAGGGCCTGATGGCATTTTAAAACAAGACAATGATTTTCTGTCTCTCAGTCAAGGTTTAATTACACCTCTGGATATATACAAGATGGATTGCTGCTGGAACGCACAAGTTTCTGTTACCAAGATTGTAGCGCAAACAATCTGGGAATAAGAGGAAATAAATATCGTACGAGGTTTGACGTGTGTGAGTGATGGGAAATCAAAAAAAGCAAAACAATTGAAGGTGAAAAGCCCCATTATTCATAACCCATTCGAAATTATGGTTGAACAAATAGGTTTACAGGAAACTAGGGCTGGGCGGTAAATGAGGTATACTGATATAATTAAAGTTGTTGAGTTAATTAATATGTTTCTGTAAAGTCCTGCCAGCGTTTGCTCCTCTCTCTCCCTCACCGAGCCGTCTACTCACAAAGTCTCTTAGCAACATGGCAAGTCGCGACATGTCGGATATTTTAGAAGCGCGGACCAGGTTGAACACGCGACAGTGAACACACCAGTCAGATGTCATTCGCTAGCTACCACGTTGTTGTGTTGAAAAGTGGTGGGCTCAGTTTAGGGGTGTGACGATGCACAATATTGAGGTCACAAGAGATATATGAGTGTGTGTGTGTGGGGGGGGGGGGTATGTGGCATTAGCCACTTGCATTCTGGAGAAATGTTCTGCACCAATTTTTGCTGGAAATGTCTTTTTTTATAGGCTTTAAAAGGGAAACACAAAATCCAGGTGGCAGATGACGATTCAAAATTTCTCTTCTCTTTTTAGCTTAAGTTACTCTTTTTTGGCAATGCACGTTTATTTCTTCTACACTGCTCAAAAAAATAAAGGGAACACTTAAACAACACAATGTAACTCCAAGTCAATCACACTCCTGTGAAATCAAACTGTCCACTGATTGACAATCAGTTTCACATGCTGTTGTGCAAATGGAAAAGACAACAGGTGGAAATTATAGGCAATTAGCAAGACACCCCCACTAAAGGAGTGATTCTGCAGGTGGTGACCACAGACCGCTTCTCAGTTCCTGTGCTTCCTGGCTGATGTTTTGGTCACTTTTGAATGCTGGCGGTGCTTTCACTCTAGTGGTAACATGAGACGGAGTCTACAACCCACACAAGTGGCTCAGGTAGTGCAGCTCATCCAGGATGGCACATCAGTGCGAGCTGTGGCAAGTCAGCGTAGTGTCCAGAGCACGGAGGCGCTACCAGGAGACGGGCCAGTACATCAGGAGACGTGGAGGAGGCCGTAGGAGGGCAACAACCCAGCAGCAGGACCACTACCTCCGCCTTTGTGCAAGGAGGAGCAGGAGGAGCACTGCCAGAGCAAAATGACCTCCAGCAGGCCACAAATGTGCATGTGTCTGCTCAAACGGTCAGAAACAGACTCCATGAGGGTGGTACGAGGGCCCGACGTCCACAGGTGGGGGTTGTGCTTACAGCCCAACACCGTGCAGGACGTTTGGCATTTGCCAGAGAACACCAAGATTGGCAAATTCGCCACTGGCGCCCTGTGCTCTTCACAGATGAAAGCAGGTTCACACTGAGCACATGTGACAGACGTGACAGAGTCTGGAGACGCCGTGGAGAACGTTCTGCTGCCTGCAACATCCTCCAGCAGGACCGGTTTGGCGGTGGGTCAGTAATGGTGTGGGGTGGCATTTCTTTGGGGGGCCGCACAGCCCTCCATGTGCTCGCCAGAGGTAGCCCGACTGCCATTAGGTACCGAGATGAGATCCTCAGACCCCTTGTGAGACCATATGCTGGTGCGGTTGGCCCTGGGTTCCTCCTAATGCAAGACAATGCTAGATCTCATGTGGCTGAAGTGTGTCAGCAGTTCCTGCAAGAGGAAGGCATTGATGTTATGGACCGGCCCACCCGTTCCCCAGACCTGAATCCAACTGAGCACATCTGGGACATCATGTCTCGCTCCACCCACCAACTTGCACCACAGACTGTCCAGGATGCTTTAGTCCAGGTCTGGGAGGAGGTCCCTCAGGAGACCATCCTCCACCTCATCAGGAGCCCAGGTGTTGTAGGGAGGTCATACAGGCACATGGAGGCCACACACACTACTGAGCCTCATTCTGACTTGTTTTAAGGACATTACATCAAAGTTTGATTTTGAGCATGACTCCAAATCCAGACCTCCATGGGTTGATAAATTTGATTTCATTAATAATTTGTGTTTGATTTTGTTGTCAGCACATTCAACTATGTAAAGAAAGGAGTATTTAATGAGATTATTTCATTCATTCAGATCTAGGATGTGTTATTTTAGCGTTCCTTTTATTTTTTTGAGCAGTGTATATTTATATTGCATGTTTTCTTTTAGTGCAAATAAATCTTTCTCAAGGTTGGTTATCAGAAGATTTTCTTACAAATGGTTTCAAAACGTGGTGGCGACTTTATATAACGTAGCCTACTACTGATGGAGAAAATCACCGGAGCGGACTTACAGGGAGGGGGAGAGATTAAAAGAAGTGGGGAACGCTGACATGTTTGCAGCAGAGGCACCAAGCAGCTCAGACCCTAATGGAACAGTTTCTGTTCCACCAACTGACCCAGCAGATTGGCCCCTGGTCTTAACAGACTTCAGGATTTTTCTTACCCTGCAGAAGTTTCCGTTATTACAGAGACAGACTGTTTTAAAGGAGGGAGGATTGTAGTGAGAGCACTGTGGTGTCAGGTGTGACTGTGCAGCCATAGCAAATTGTTTACATGCCTCAGGAGTCAGGTAGGCGGGCCCCATAGCAGAATTTTGCTTAGGGCCCCAGGGACGTCAGGACCGGCTCTGAACAGCTAATAGTAATGAGTAGTAACAGTTCCAGTAGTTGTTGAAGTATCAGAATCAGGAGCAGTTGTTGTACTTTTAGTGATTCTAACAGCACTATGTCTGCCAAATGAATACAATAAGCAGTAGCACAAGCAGTATATGTAGAAGTAGCAGGTATATTTATAGTAATTAGTTATTCGTATCATCTTCAGCCAGGACTGTAATCCCACTTGCATTCCTCTGGTGTTGCGTACGGCTGTATTTTAACGTTACTGTCCTCCCTCTCCTCTCTCCGTCCCTGCAGCTGAGCTCGAGAAGCAGAAAGGTGTGATGCGTCCCGGTGTGTTGACGGGGGGAGGACCGGGATGCGGGGGGACATCGGGAGGCGGGGACGGCGATGGCACCTCGAAGGGCGAGGTGGTGAACGGCACGCTGGGTAGGCCGAGCCTCGACGACACGTACGCCTCGGTGGATGGCCTCAAACGCACGGCGCTCAGCTCCTCGCTGAGAGACCTCTCAGAAACAGGTGAGGACGGGGAACTCACCGGTCGTTCGTGACAGACGTTGCAGTACAAGTACACGTTCTGACACACTGGAGCTCTTTACAGTGAACTTTACCTCCTGTGAATAACAGTATACATGTTTTTTGTTACCTCAGAGACGTGACTGGGTTTATGCAAGTGAGAAATTTTACTGTTTCTGTTGCTGCAGTTTTTTATTATGACTCACTGACTCACAGCAAACCTACATCTGTGGTCTTATGCAACTGATGAAATAATGATGAAATCTAAATTGGTAATATAATGCAATAAGAAGAAAGTCTGCTGTGATGCTCTGTCTCCACCTACTGGACAGCTACAAGAAATACAAGAAGCTGTTACTGTGGAAACTGCACTTTATGGATCATTGGTATTTAGTGGGTGTTTTTTAACGTTGAGCTGGTAACCAGTGACACAAGAGGCAGATGTTACTAACAAGATCGCCAATATAATAAAATTGTAAACAATATTGGTTGACGTGTTTATAAATCAATATCAGGGTCAGTCCTGTGTTACTGCTGATTTTCGGACGTAAAAAGTAAAAGTACAGAAGAGGTGAATGAGGTGTGGAGGTCAGGGACAGTGGTGGAGGAAACTGCATGTAAAATCAAGGCAACGTAGAGACAGAAAGCATCTGGCCAGGCGGGCTTAAGCAACTGAGGAACACTGGCGAGGTGTTCCCATGATGCCCCATCCTCCGTTTTACAGTGCAGATATAGTAACCCCTCAATGTATCAGCACAAAACTGCTGCGAGACACACACACCACCGCCACACATGCAGGACGCTGTTTTTGGGTTGTCATAATAATAATAATAACATAATAAAGCACACAGAGTATCGTTACAGTTACTATCTCGCAATCTCTGGCTCAACTGTTAAAACGGCGTGTTTGTTCAGCACGTGCAGTGACAACGCAGTGAATAGAAGAGGATTCTCTCTGACCAATCAGTAGTCAGCAGAACAAAAACAAATAACCTACCATGTCAAGGTGATTTGAGCTGGTACGCGGTTAGTCTAACTTAGCGGTAGAGGGAAACGACGAGGCCGGCTCAGTCCAGCTTTCAAAAATACACCAACCAACACTTCTAAATTTCACTAATTACTGTTCAGTTAAAAGCAGAGTCCCAATTAGACGTCTGTCCCTTTTACTGGCACGGTGTGGCTACATGTTTTGAAGCCTGCGGCCGTGTTACAGAAAGATCTTAAGTCTTAAGTTAAGACAGGAAGAGTCTAAAATAGGATTTTTCCTAGTTTGGTATTACAGAAGCAAATCCTAACTAACTTCATCCTATCTTATCTCAGGTTAGGAAATCCTAAATGCTAAATCCAACATCAGCTATCAACTTTTATGTCTGTTACCTAGCAACTGATGCCGCTTTTCTCATCTCGCCGAGCTAAACGGCTTTTAATCGCTGTTTTTTGGTCGCTTTTTTTAATGAAACAAACTGAAAATGGATCAGAAACAACAACTATCATTGGACTTCAAGTCAGATGACTTAGAGGTGTTTGTAACCTCCGTCAAGAAATCCAAATTTCACCGCCGCATATCCGGCATCCAGCGGAGCGTTGATGCTGTCAAAAAGAAATTAAGTCCATTTATAAGTGACACAAAGAGAAAGGCTCCTCCTGCGCTCCCTCACTGACCCGGCAGAAACCCGTCTTCTCGGGAAAGTTAATAACGAAGATCAAAATAATAATAAAGGCTGCGGGCAAACGTCCTCGTGTTTTTCATGTAGTTTTTGAACCTAACGATCTCCTTCTATCAAAGACTTGCATTTTTCACGTCAAGCCTTTACATTATGTTATATAATGAGACATTTTCCACCTGTTGACATTTTATTGATTTTGTAAAAGCAAAAAAAGAGCAGCCGTGTGGATTAAACGAGTCAGCAAACACTAGCTGGTGGAAAAGTAAAAGTTCTCCTGAAGTTAGGATGCTTCTGTAAAACACTTTTCTTATCTAAAGTTAGGAAACTAACATCGACTCAGGAACTGTTCATCTGTAACGGCCTTTTTCCTAAATCAGTTCCTAACACGTATTACCATGGTTACCAAGCAGTTAGGATAGGATCTGCCCGTTTGCCGTGTTTTTTATAGCAGTTAGGTTGCAGTTCTCTGAACGTTTAAAAGGTCCACAGGGGGATCTGTTTGAGCTACTTCTAAGCTACTTAGATTTTGCATACCAATATAAATGTTTATGCCACACATTGTTCAGATAGATATGTTTAAATAGATTCTCCATAAGTCAGTGATTGAGTTCATTTTACAGAAACAACAAGCTCCAAAGTGTAATTCATTCTTTAATTATTAAAGGCCTGTTTTGCGGTATGTATGTATCTGTACACTTTTTAACGCTGCATCATTCTGATTGGGTAACAGGGAAGCGAGGTCGTAGGAACAGTGTGGGGTCATTGGACAGTACCATTGAAGTAAGTTTGGCGGGTCAGAGCTGAAAGCATGCATGATGTGACCTCCCAGCATGCCGCCGCAGCATGTCTCACGCACGTTTGACTGCATGTTTGTTATTTTCTACATATCTTTGGAGAACCATTATTACAGCTTTACCAGAAATATTTTGGGTATGACTGATGACTGACAAACCAGCGATGTTGACGTTTTATGTGTCTTAACCAATAGTGCTGTCATTTCTCTGTCTACTTCACTCATTCCTCTTCTGATGTCCTGCATGTCTGTCCCGAAATCTGCCTGGTTAGCTTTTTGACAACAAATCACACGCAAACACAGAGATTCAAGATTAATTTAATCCATCTTTCAAGCTGCCATTGAGTTCAGTTCAGGTAGATTTTTAAATATCTACTTTCTTCAACTGAACTGAACTGAAGATAAAACTGAAGTTATTGTTTTTGGAGCCAGGGAGGAACGATTGAAAGTCAGCGCTCGGCTTCAATCTGTAATGTTAAGAACCACAAATCAAGCCAGAAATCTTGGTGTCGTCATGGACTCAGACCTGAATTTAAGAAGCCACATTAAGACAATTACAAAGTCAGCCTACTATCACCTGAAGAATATATCACGGATTAAAGGACTTATGTCTCAGCAGGACCTGGAAAAGCTCATCCATGCATTTATCTTCAGTCGACTCGACTACTGTAACAGTGTCCTTACAGGCTCCCTAAGAAATCCATCAGACAGCTGCAGCTGATTCAGAACGCTGCTGCTCGAGTCCTCACTAAGACCAAAAAGGTGGATCACATCACTCCAGTTCTGAGGTCTTTACACTGGCTTCCTGTATGTCAAAGAATTGATTTCAAATCCTGCTGTTAGTTTATAAAGCACTAAATGGTTTAGGGCCAAAATACATTTCTGATCTTCTGCTTCGTTACGAACCATCCAGACCTCTCAGGTCGTCTGGGATCAGGTCTGCTTTCTGTCCCCAGAGTCAAAACTAAACAAGGAGAAGCAGCGTTCAGTTATTATGCTCCGTATATCTGGAACAAACTCCCAGATAACTGCAGGTCTGCTGAAACTCTCAGTTCTTTTAAATTAAGACTGAAGACTTTTATTTTCACCGTCCTGTTTTACCCTGTTTTTATTTCCTATTTAACTCTTAAAATTTTATTTTATCCGTTTTTTATCTTCTAATTTCTAAAAATTATATTTTAATGTGCTTTTCAATTTCCCTTTGCTGCTTTTATGTATGATGTTGAATTGCCTTGTTGTTGAAATGTGCTTTACAAATAAACTTGCCTTGCAAAGATTAGAAACTTGGCAATCAGTTAGCAAGTAGAGACTCTAATTTGTTGATTTGTTCAAAGATGCTCAGTTTTGAGAGTTGCCCCCCCCCCCAAAAAAAATTATATGATGAAGTTATGCTATTCTGTCATTCTGTCTTGTGATTGATTACTGTTTATTTTATAAGTATCTGAGAGGCAATATAAAATCACAGCTTCTTTTTAAATATTGCAAGCTAATGAATCGTCTGGGTCTTATTCTCTTTCCTCTTTTCTTTGTTCCTCCTCCACCTCTTCCTCTCAGGGTTCCATTATTAGCAGCCCCCGGCCTCACCAGCAGCGCCCCCTGCCTGCTGGAGGTCTATCCTACAGCCCCATGATGGTCCCTTCGTCTCCAGCAGCCTACCGGCCGCACCGCCCTACTCAGAGCCCCGGTACAGGGGTGGGGGGTGGGCCGGGGCTCTGTCACAACCAGGGGGGGGTCACCACCTCCCCACTCGTGAGCGGGGGAGGGGCTGGGGGCGGAGGAGGGATGGCGGGTGGGGGAGGCCAGACTGGCGGCGGCCTGCTGGGGAACTTCTTCGGCAGCCGCAGAGGCAAGGTTCCTGGTCCCCTGACGATGACGTCACCGACTCCACAGGGTCCACCGAGTCCCCTGATGATATCATCACCCCCCCACTACCCCGCCCCCGCGCCTCCCATCCCCCACCCATCCTCCCCTTCCCCATGCCCCTCCCCATCGCCCAACCTCGGGCAGTCGGACTCGGGAGGAATTGGAGGGGTAGGAGGTACGGGAGGGGGGCCGTCCAAGCTCCAAGCTTTGCACGCCCAGTATTGCCACGGCAACAGTGGAGGAGGAGGAGTCAATGTAACTGGGCACCAGCAGCAGCAGACGCCGCCCCCACCTTACCACCACCACCATCGCTACCACATGCAGAGCGTCCCGCAGCACCACGCCCTAGCGCACAGGTTCTCAGCCCCCCGGCGGCAGGGTCCGCCCGGCTGCGCTCCCTCTCATACCCAGCAGCATCAGAGGATGCAACATGGCGCCGCCCAGCACCCGCGCTACAACCTGGGCTTCATCACGCCCCCACCACTGTCCCCGCACTCCCCCGTCACCCCTACTACCCCGCACGGACTTTACCACTCGCACCCTGCGGCGGGACGGCCGGGTGGAGGCGGAAAGCTCCCGCTGACCATCTCGCACTCTCAGCCCCACCCCCACGCGCACACACACTCTCACAACCACGCCGTGCACACACACTCCCCGCTCAGCCCCTCCCCCTCCGCCTCCCCCTCCACCCACTTCATCTTCTCCACCCCACCGCCCCAAACGCCCTCAGCACGCCTCGTCACCCAGACGCCTCCGCAGCCCTACGCCCCCCAGTACCCACCCCTTACCTCCATCCCACCTCCCCCTCCGCACTCCCCCTTACCTCCCCCGTCGACCGGCCCTCTCTCCCTGCACCCAGGGGCGGGGGGCGGGCAAGGGGGAGGCCCCAAATCGAAACCCGTCAGCCGGATCAGCACGGTCGTGTGAGAAGGCAGAAGCCGAGGGCGGTGGTCCGCCATCCCGCAGCGAGCCATCGTGGGGCGGTAGTGACAGGGAGCAGGAGAGGGAGCAGGAGAGGGAGGAGGAGAGGAGGGCAAATGCAGGTGCATCAAAATGGCCGCTTAGTGAGGAGGAGAGCAGTGAGAGAGGGGAAGAGGAAATTACTCAGCCTGTGTTATTTTCACATCCACTTCCCCCACAAGTAGAAAGACTCTCACGCACACTGAAGGACGTTTGTTGGGAAACCCTGTAGTGGCAAATGTTCCTGGAAAACCTGCCCATGGAGCTACCAGCACCAAGAACATAAATCACTCAAAGAAAGCTGAAGAAAAAACTCCCGCATACTCCTCCTGTATTGGTGAAAATCTCCTGATCCCCCCTTCGTAGTGCCCTTCAGTGCTGGCCTGGGACTCGAGAGGACATGCATGTAGTTCTTCATTGACAGATGAAGTGTTCGTGTCATATTGTGAGTACGAATTTGTGAGTTGCTGTAGTGGACATATGGTTCAGGGACCAGACGTGAAAGGGAACAGTGCCTGAGAATTGAACAAAAGGGTTGTAATCGATGCCAACACTATGTACGGTGTTGGTTGGTGGGACAGCTCAGGTTGTTAGGAAGCCTGAGAACGCGACGAGTCCTTTTACTGTGTTCCAAAAATCACACTAGTCTTGCACCAATTTGTTTTCCGCACAAAAAGCACTTGTACCATTAATTTTGGTTGTTGGCGTATTACAAGCCATGAGCAATGAGCCATGTTACATGAGAAGCAGAAGTGGTTAGCATTAATATGGTGCAGTTTGTGTCTTAGACAGGCATGCATGACCTGTGCAATAGCTAATGAGTGTCAGTGTGTCTATGGTTAAAATCCTATATGAAGGGGGAGGGATCTGTTATAAGTTAAAGCCCCAATCCAGCATTTATTTGACCATAAAAAGTGCATTAGTGAAGGTTACTGAAAACTTTACTTTCTACATGGACAATAAACTTTTTTAAAACTCTAAACAAGCCATCATGATAACAAAAACTACAGGTGTCTTTTTACCTTTTGTGTTTTGCAAAAACTGCTAAAAGCCTTTAGTGTTTGTGGATTGCAGGGTTTCAACAGGGGGCACTACAATGTTGTTTTGGATTGGGACTTATTTAACTGACAATTTATTCTTGTAAAGGAGGATTTATTTGATCATTTGTACCACACCAGTGAATGCTCCCCTACAAGTGTCCCAGTATATTTAAAAATATAAGCCTGAATTTGTCAGAAATTATAATATATGTCAACTGTGTTTCATGCTCCACATTGTATGTGACCCTCTATGTTGCCGGAGAAGGAGATTATGCTGAAAGGTGCCAAACAGGGTATAGTCTGGGAGTCTTTTGTTTCACTGGCTTGTCTTCCTTTGATGAAGCGGGAGGCTATCGTACCTAAACAAAGTCACGAAAGAGATGTTTAAGGTTACATTAAACAACATCTTCTTATAATGTAACTCTCAATATATTTCTCAAAAGGTTAATACTGGAAATGTTGACTGAACTGGGTGGGAAATTAAAATGCAAAAGGTTATATGCAGTTTAGAAAATCAAAGTTGTGCAGCGTCCAAACAAAAATTCCATCACCGCTTTGTGAGGGTGGTTAGCTGAAGGATTTCTGTCATGACACCGTCTTTCCCTGAAACCCTCCATTCACATAACAAAAAAGTTCACAAACACCCCTTCATTAGTTAAATATATTAAAAGGAGCAACAGGGGAGGGATCCCTTTTCCAGAAAGGACAGACATGCAATAGTTTGTGTACATAGACATTAGCATTGGTGTCAGCTAATGCACATAATTTCTAAGCATGTGCTACGGGGCAATGTCACATCTACTAAACCAAAATGTACAGAAAACAAAAACAAAACTCAAAAAACATTTTTTGTCAATGCCAAGTGCTTGCTAGTAATTTTTCATGTCAATTATTTCAAAAGTCCCAGCTCAACAATCAATTTTGTTTTAATTTAAGTGATAAATTGTGTTTTTGTGGTGGAATAAATTTTTTCAAGACTGTTATCCCAAGATAAGTGTTTAAAGGTCCCATATTATGCTCATGTTCAGGTTTGTACTTTTATTTTGGTGTTGACAAGAAAGCTTTATTGTTTAAAAAAACCCATTATTTACTCTCATAATGTCGATTGATTCAGCACCTCTCTTTCCCCCCTCTGTCTGAACACTGTGTCTCTTTAAAAGCCCACTTTCTTGTGACTGACCAACGAAGTGTGGCGATAGGTCTGGCTATGTGAGACCAATGCTTGTGGACCGCTCCGCCTCACGCTGCTCGGTGGCTACGACAGCTACAATAATTTCACTTGGAAAAAAACGGTATGGGGAAACTTAATTTGATGAATTGACTTTTTATCAAACCACAAATGAGACAAGAATTAGGTTGGAAAAACGCCGCTGAAGCGGAGCGTTTCTGGCGGTTGGGCCTCACACTACAAAAAAACACTTTATTCACTGATTTTGGTGAAAGTGGTTCATATTTTATGGATAAAAAATCTTCTGGTTTTCCATCTGATGTCCTCCTGCTGCTCAGCCTCAACTTTCAGTGATTTATGGAGTTTCCTGATGGACAGATAGCTTTACTTGTTGTTAGCAGTTACTTTAACCACTAACTGCTGCTAACTTTAGCGTCAACTAGCTAGTTAGCTCAGTTAGCCCTGCATCTAGCCGTCCTATTAGCTGACTCTTCCCGGACTGGAAGCTTGGTGTGTTGGCGTTTACACCAGGAGCTGTAGACCGCTGGGAGCGCCCAGTCCGGACAGAGCTAGCTGATAACGGCTGCTAAAGTTAACAGTAGCTAGCGGTTAATGTAGAGTTAGCAACAAGTAGTTCATCTGTCCATCAGGAAACTTCATAAATCAAATAGACCTAAAGGCCTTTTCATAGCTATTTGCGCTGTGCTTTCCATTGGGTTCAACTATTTTGAGCTTTGACTGTGGCGTAGGCACGAGCGCAGCGTTTTGCTCGACGCAGCAACAAACCCCCCCCAGGCATTGGTGCAAGCCATTGAAAACAATGGGTTTCATAGCTCAGCGGTACAGTAGTTGTAGTCTGTCTGAAAGGCCATAAGGCAGAGCAGTCGGAGGACATCAGAGGGAAAACCAGAAAATATTTAACTTTCCTTCATAATCGTAAAAGCAGTTTCTGCGATATAGACTGAACAACCTCCAGCTGTAGCTCAGCGATGGATCCACAGCTTGGTGTTGTGTTGGACGGTGGGGCTGAGAGCAGTTTTTTCTCATACTTTGGGGTCTTGAGACACACCGGGGACACATATTTAGATGGAAAAGTGGATTTTGCATAATATGTGACCTTTAATATTTCAACTTCACAGTGTCATTATCTTTAAAAAGGAAATGGTGGTTAAAATGTTACACTAATATTACGTGTAGCAGAGGCTGACACTTCTTTAGAGAATCCTGTGGGTCACAGGATTTCAGTGGGATGTAAGTCAACTTCATTATTCATCACGGGACTGGGACGGGACTGGAATCATAGATTCGGTTTTATATACATGAAGTTCTAATATGAATCAACGCTATTTTCTGATTTGTTTTTATCGGGAATGGGGTTGGACAGGAGTCATTCTTCTGGGATTGAGGGAAAATCCTCTCCCGTGTCACCCTCTAATGTGTAGGTCTGCTTATAATTTTTGTTCTGTTCTTTTCTGGGATGCCTCTTTTTTCAAAGCCGAGTGGAATGATTATTGTGAAACAATTTTGATAACATTTACATATAGAAGCCTGTTTTACCAGAGGTAATGAGATATCTAATCATAAAGCTATCTTCAGATAAAGTTACAGTTAATATAGTATAATGAACTTTTAAAACTAAATATAAGTGCTAGTTGTTGTATCAAGATCAGAAGTAAAGTTTTAATGTTGACAAATAAAACTAAAACCTTTGCGGTAATCTCACTAACTCTTGGCTTCCCTACATTTTAGGCCTTTGGAAACAAAAAAATGTGAACATTTATGTTCACGAAAGCATGTGCAGCCTTATTTCACCAGCTGCAGACAAACTTTCACCACTGTTAATGAAAAATAATGGTTAATTTCCCACCAAGTCCAAACGTGTGAAATCTTCAGAACAGTTCTGGTGACCTTGAGGGTGAACAAAGTGTAATCTCACACTACTATTGCAAAATGGAGAACAGGGTGCCTTCAGATGGAGGGGGTGGTACAATATAAAATGATCATAAGATATAATTCAAGAAAGACCACCATGTAATATAAAGACAATTCAGCATCTAAACTAGTCATATATTGATTGATTGTATCCATTCAGAATAACAAACTATCAAGCCATTTACTGCTTTTTATTCAAATCTGGCTGAAGGACTGAGCCACTCGTCTCCCTCGTCATCCAACAAAGACACAAAGGAACATGAAAATTGGACCTAATTTCATCCTGAAGGACTTGCTAACTTCTCACAGGACTGGAGTGCAGAACGTGTTTCGCCGCCAAACAGCACTAAGCAAAATATTCTTGAACAAATTAATTTTTACACATTATTTTGCACTTTTGAGTTAAACCCACCATACCAGTATTAAAGTGTATTTTCTCTTTCTCTCCATTTGATCGAGTTCAACAGATGCCAGGATAGGAAGCCCATGATAGCTGGTTGAAAGTTCTTTGACTATTTGAACTGTTTTTCCAGCCATTTGTACTTTTTGACTAGAACCTCTCAGTGCTGGTTGCTTTCCTGTCAAAGTGGCTGGTTTAGTCAGGCTCAAATAAATATTTACCAGCATTTAACTGGTGGATGATGGGAAATTCCTCTGATGTTCTGAATGCAAACAATAATGACACATTTTTAGTCCGCCTGTGATTACGTGAATGCGCCGACTGTAGATATTAACTGTACAGTGTGTTCTCTTTTCAATGGGGCCAACAGCATCGATCTGTAACTGAGGTTCAGAATTGCTTGAATTAACAAAGTGTATGCTCTAAAAACCAAACGTTCTTCAGGGTTCTTCAGGCTATTTGAGCAACTTAGGGTTCCTCACTAGAAAAACAAAAACAATAAAAATCCCTTAAATGTTTTTTGTAGAAGCACTTTCAGTTTGAGGTTTGTGGAAACGCCGTCATAAACTATAATCACTTGACGGAATTCCTCAGGGAACCATCTTGGGTCCCCTGTTGTTTTCAATCTGAAGAACCCCTTGGACTTTTTAGAGTGTGCTACTGATATTATTATTAATATTGTTGTGTGACAAGCTTCTACTAACATAACGTACTCCTTGGGCTGTTTTGTATTTTTAGCATTTTTAATTTTGTTATGTGCTTACAAGTGTGAGATGATTGTTTTGCTTTTCTGATTTGGGCATTTTATGGAAAGACTACAAACTTTTTCATTTTTAATATGTTTACAACAAAACAAATTTTCTGTAACTAACATACACTAACATGTTCTAATATTTTTAATAAGACCCTGATAATTAATTTCACTCACCCCTGCATGCTGGCGCAAACACACACACCTGTGTACACTTCTAAATCATCACAAAGCCTCTCGCCAACCTTTTAATAGAAACAAGCAAGACTTACGCTACCAAGCAACCTTTTAAAACAATACAAACAAAGAATACATGCTGAGCTGCTAGGAATTCTGGACCGCTTGGTCTACATCATGTATCTACAATCACCTACAGAAACTTTGCCACTTTGCAGGGGGCCATACAGTAACACCATGTCTAATCCAGACTAAAACAATTAACTAAACACACTTGAAATAGCAAAACAAAAGTTCTCGAGGAGCACTGGATCAAACCTACCTCGTAAGGAATTATACATTTCAACGTTTTCCACTGCATGCCCGAGCTGTTCCTCACTAAAGTTCCCATTTTAAAGTTCCATACCCATGCTTTTGCATGTTGTAGCCTATCAACTACAAATTGTATGTACTTTACATTACTGCCAACCATTTTCGAAATCATTCCTAAATTTCTAGATTTGTTTGGTTCCAGTGTCAAAAAAAAATCTATTTGCAGGGACTTGACACTTGCTGCAGATAGATCACTGTCAACATTTCTTAGAGGTCCAAGCACCAACAGGGTTGAAGCTGTTTTTCTTTTGCTAGGTTTTTATTATTATTGACAGTTCTTGTGATCCAAGGCTGGAGTGGATCCTGGCGGTGTTTCACTGCAGGAGGATGTCTTGACTTATGAACGCATATTCAGCCATGATCTCGGCCTCCTGGTAAGTCGTTTTGCCTTCGGTTCCAAGTTTTGTTGGACCCCAAGTAAACCCACTAGGAGGTTTAGTTCATTGTTATTATTTCTCAGTTTTTTCAACAAAAACTCTTTGGAAAGTTAGGACTGTTGTGAAAAATCCGACTTTGGAGATTTGACAGTCTTCTGCAGAACAACCACTCTTTTACCACTGGATGCAAGTCTCTGCAAAAGGATTTTCATTAAAATAAACTAAAATCAGTGTCTGTTTGAACAGCAGGAAATCAGTCTAATAATGTATTGCGTGGTTTGCAGAAGTAATGTACAGTATATGCAGTTAAAGAACATGCAGAACAATAGGTATGGTCCTTTAAATGCTGAATTTAAAAGTTTATTTTCCTGCCCGGGTCTGGTCTCCACTATCGGTTTGCATGTGGTATTTATTACAGTATCTGCACTGAATGAAACTGTATTATAAACATGAATGTACATAACCATCGTTATATGAAAAATAACAATGCGAGTACTCACTTTGCTCCGCAACGGGCAGTTTGTCTTTGGCTGGGTTTACACCAGGAACCGAAGATCTGATTCTAAACGGCCATAGAAATAGATCTGATCTGACTGCTGCAGGCAAAAACAGGGAACCTTTAAAAAAAAAAAATCGTCAGATCTGGTTCAGATAAGATAACAAATGTCCGACTCTTCTGTTCCTGTGTAAAGGCAGTCTGTGTTGTGTGTATCTAAACAAGGGCGATGGACCAGGGGTCTAAGTTGTACAAAACAACACAATGGACCGCTTTATGGAGAAATTTTTTTTTCTTGTTTATAATGTAGAGCAAAGAGAGACTGCAATAGTCCTTGTAAAATTGTACGAGTACAGTGTCAAATATGTGTCAACAGAGACGACATTATTTTAAAAATTATGTATGGAAAATTTTAGCTGTGTATATAAATATATATTACTTGTACTTTGTTTTTGAAATTGCAGAGATATGGAAAAAGTGGAAATATTTATTGCTCTAAAGATATAAAAAATCTGTTCATGTTGATGGAAAGACGCGTCCTGTTTTGTTTGGGGGATTGTACACTCACACACACACACTACTTTACATTACAGTGGGGCTGATGATGTTTGACCTCGTGACTTCAAATGTTCTGTTTCGTGGTTCAGAACCAATATTGTGAAATAACAACAATCCAACAATCACAAGCTCAAAGGAACACGTTCTCCACAGATCTCCAGAAAGCTGGAGTCAGTGCGTGGTTAGCTTAGCTTAGCATAAAGACTGGAAGCAGGTTGAACAGCTTGCCTTGCTCGGTCCAAAATTTAAAATAAAATACATCAGTAACAACACCTCTAAAGTTCACCAACAAAGATGTTGTAACTTACTTGTTTCATTTGTGCACAAAAAGAATTGGTTTTGTGCTGGAAATATTTTCTGTTTGTGCGTTTAGTAGGACAATAAAACAAAAATGATGATTATCACGATTTAATTTTTCTCAATAACAGTTTAATAAAAGTTTGATTTTATTCATTTGAATCATGAACAACTCAGCACTTAATTTTTCTATCTAGATTTATTTTGTTGGCCGGAAAAAAGATTTTACAAAATTGTACTCATATTTGTTGAAAAAATATTTTATCAGAATAGTTTTGAATGTTCTGCCTCAGATTTGTGAAGTCATGTTTGTTCTGACCATAAAGAAATGTTTAAACCCACAATTAACCATCTGGTTTCTTCAACTTTCACTCAGGAGCAAAAAATCAGCCTTTACACTTGAAAGAAATAATGATTTGACTTTTATCCTGATAATTATCGATATCGAACGGTTTAAAATTTTTTAATGTGATAAAATATTTGGCCAAATCAGAGATCAGATAAGATCTCGCAAAGCTGCACACAGTCAAAACACTGCTGTTCAATAAGTAGTTGTTTCAACACATAATATCCCCTGAAACCAAGGTTTGTGTTTGTTTGTTTGTTTTGAATTTCTGTTTGTGTACATTTTGTCGACATTTAGTATTTATGTCTGTTCGCTCTCTCACTGGTGAAGTCTACCAAAAACAACAAAGAAAAACATTCTTAAAACAAAAAGAAACACCAGGAATGAGATAAGCCTGAATGAAATTCCAGAATTTCTCACTATGAGAACACTTCCAAAATAAATGGGAAATATTTTCATCTCAGTTTCAATATTCTGTTTAGATTTCGCTGGGTAGAACCGGTGAATCGAATTAAACGTAACTTCTGCACTTTATTAGTAAGCAAATATTTAAAGAGTAGGTAATGCCCACACTTTTTCATAAGGAACATTCTCAAATATACTATGTCCATCAGGAAATCGACAAGATTTTAAGGCAGACCAAGTGTGCCAGCAAAAAAACCATAAAATTCCCCTGAAAGAAATAAATCTAAAAAATTAACTATTAACTATTTTTTTATTTAACGACTCATTTATATATTTTCATATGTATTTCTATATTGATTTAACATAACAGCTGATGTAGTAAATTATATTTTTATTCTACTTTTTAAACCACGCTCTGAATACTTTTATTACTTATTTATTAGAAGTCTGTTATTTTATCTTATTTTGTTAACTTTATCACATGGTCAGTGTTTCCGCTTGAACAGGAAGTGCTTCTCCGTCGTTTCGCCGAACTGCGTAACGTGTCTGTCGCGTTGCTAATTCTCAAAACTTTATAAATGTGGTAAGTTATTTTTAAACATTCAATATTCTCATCAGCTGGCAGCTTATAAATATATATATATTAAAAAAAGCAGGAGTGGCATTGAAACAAACGGTCTGTAGAAGCAATAACAAGGCTAACTAGCCGGCTAGAGGCTAGTTAGCCTCCGGTCCCATCGTTTAAACAGGGCTAATGCTAACGTTAGCTGCGTGTTGTTGTTAAATGAAGACCGGTCACATGTCGGTAGGATGTTTAAATAACGTCTCGGTTAGTTCGGTTGAAGCTTACGGTGTGTCCGGTTGTCGTGTTTTAGTTAGCTCAGCTTCAGGCCTTTTAGATGAGAGCCGTTTAAAGATGTGACCTTGTGTATTTACGAGCTGCCTCTCCAGCAAGGTGCCGTTTGATTCTAGCTTCTTTGAGCGACTAGAGTTTTATTTAAAAGACAAACAAAGGCATTAAATCAAGATGTCACTGCTCATTTGCACAATTACACACCTGATACAGCTCATTAGGCAGATCAGGCAAAAAGTGTATTATCATCTTCTTTTAGTTTCTATCCGCAGGTGTAGATTTATTTGATCTTAATCTCTGTGTGGTATTTTTTATTTACAGCTGCTGCAGTTTCCCTTTGGGATTGATAAAGTACTGTCAGTCTATCAGTGGAGTTTTAAAGCTATGAATAAATCTTTGAACAACCCTTTTGTAAACATCTATATAGTTTTATATTGTAAAGATCTGTGCCATTAAAAAATATTTAAATTTGATTTTCCAAGTTTATTTGTTTCTAACATGGCTTTCAGCAGGAAAATATGTGATTTCAGGTTAGCTGGATAGGAAAGCGTTGTTCTAAATTGTGCAGCGGAGTGACAGTTTTTAGAAATGACCTTTTAAAGTGTTTATTAAAGGAACAAGACCTAGCCGGGAACATGAATGTGTACTTTGAGACTGTAAATACTGCATGTCAGAGGGAAATCTTGCTGTTTTAACTTCTTTACACACATTAAATCCACATTAATTTGCGTTTTCTTTTCTTGATATTCTGGAAAGGCATTTTAAATTTCGCTAAATATGGTTGTAAACTTGGCTGCTGTTTGTGAAGGAGTGTTTTTTTCCACTACTACATGTACATAATGTAGAGCTAATGAACCGTATCTCAGCCCTGTTCATGATTTAAATAAGTAGTTTCTAGTAGTACTGACTCTGCCTTTAGGAGCCCTGAACAATAAATTCATCTTAATCAGAGCAGAGTTTGTGATCTAAACATTTTTCATCCTTCCAAAGAAATTGAAATCCGTATCTATTTTTGGCACCTAAATATGGCATGAAAATGGCAAGAGTGGTTTTCCTCTTTCAGAGCGTCGCCCTGTCTTGAGTTCCTGTCTGTGTTGGCTGGTCGAACAGAGAGCGATGGCCGGTCCAGAGCTCCTGCTGGACTCCAGCATTCGGATGTGGGTGGTCCTGCCCATCGTCTTTATCACCTTCTTCGTCGGGATCATCCGTCACTACGTCACCCAGCTGCTCCACAGCGACAAAAAGGTCGACCTGGAGCAGGTTTCTGACAGGTGAGACTGTGGTTGTCCCCTGGGCCGTCCCCTGGGCCGTCCCCTGGGCCGTCCCCTGGGCCGTCCCCTGGGTCGTCCCCTGGGTCGTCCCCTGGGCCGTCCCCTGGGCCCTTGCACCAACAAGCCAGTGACTCTGACGTTTGACCTGTTGTGATTTTTCAAATAGGGCTGCACAATTAATTGAATATTGATTGTGATCACGATTTTAGCTTCCCACAATTAAATGAACATGATTGACTGCGTGCTCCGCTAATGGAAAACTTTAGTAGTTGGATTTGGTGGACTTTACGGGTAAAATGTTATTTATATTTTGCTTATAGGAGATGATGCACTTTAAGTCTTCTTTTGATGCAAAGATTTGTACATTAGCAGAAATGCAGCACATCACGGATGTCAAAACAGTTGCCTGTTTATTTAATTTTCTATTTGAAAGTGCAATAAAAATATGTTCAATGAATAATCGTGATCTCAATATAGATCAAAATAATTGTGCTTATCAATTTGGCTGTAAATGTGCAGCCCTAATTTCTCATGTGAGTTCTCCTTTTGTTCTTATTGGGCTTCCCATGTTTCTGATTGGCTGGCTGATGGACTGTGCTGTCACATAACTGAGTGTTATGTTGGTGTTTGTGTTCAGCCAGGTGCTCCTGCGCAGCCGGATCCTCAGAGAGAATGGGAAGTACATTCCCCGACAGGTAAACTCATAAACTCATTGGGAAAACGGTAGAATTTATTGTGAGTTCAGACCCAAAACTGCACTGTAAATAAAAAAAAAAACTTGCTTATTGCTGTGTTGCGTCAGGTACCACTAAAGCATGAAGTAAGATCCATGAAGTCCAGTTCGAGTAACAGATCCAAGAGTTTGAAGGTTTATTAGATGCCAAAATGCTGCAGAAGTTTATAAAACTCTCAGGCTGGATTTTACAAATGTGGAAAGTAATGGTCGTTTTATCATCCAGTAGAAATCTGTGATGGAGGTTAACATCTTAGACAGATGACGTTGTATTACGGCCCCCCGTGTTGGGACCTCTGCTTTGCCAACACAGTGGTCTTACTGTTATTTTGTTGTGTTTTTCTGTTTAAATTAAACCTACACAGAAAGCACTAAGGTTTCAGCCAGGAAAACATGTGGAAGATTTTCTCTAAAAAGTACATTTTGACTTTTCATCATCCTGTAGCCAGGGTAGACTTTAGATTTGAAATAATTAAACAGTTACTTTGATGTAAATTGCTGTTGTTATAAAGTCTTATTTTAAGAAATGGTTTGATGATGATTTAAGTTATGAGGGGATAGTTTAGCTAAAAGTATGTAATCATAGACATTTAAATAAAATCCTGACTCATAAATGGACGTGTCTCTGTGACTTTGAGCTGTTGTGTGTAAACATGTTGTCACTGTTTCAGTCTTTCGCCATGAGGAAACATTACTTCAACAACGCAGAGACGGGCTTCTTCAAGAAGGTCAAGAGGAAGGTCGTCCCCAAGAACCCCATGACAGGTAGGTGTGTTTGTAATCGAGAGAGAACAAAGTTCATCTTGATCTCCAGGTCTGTATTTTTCGCTGGGTGGGGATGGTACAGTGGATAAGACACGTCCGTCCCCCTATCTGTCCGTCCAGCCACCCATCATCCATCCATCCTACTGTGCTGCTGCTATACATAAAAAGGCAACAGAGCTGTGACTCTCTTGACTTCATCTGTGGGCGTCTAGATAAACAAATGAAACGGTGTGTGTTTTGTTTCAGACACCAGCATGTTGACAGACATGATGAAGGGAAACCTGACCAACGTCCTGCCCATGA